TTTTCTTGCCTTCTCGGAGGCTATGAACCAGTAATCTGAGAAGGAAGGGAAGAAAAAAGGGAAAAAAATACCAGGAGGAAAAAAAGATCCACTGCACACACACATCATTTACTTCCCACCAAAATTCTGGGTGGCATTATTTTATAGATGAGGAAGGAGGGGCTCATACATGTAAGTGGTGTGTTCAGAGCTCACTCTGTCCCCACCACACTCTGCCGCGGGCACTGGGCAGGCACCCCCTGCTGCCCACATGGCATTAGTGGCCAGATGGTGTCTTTTCTCGTTTCCCTAGCTGAACTTCCCCCCGTCTTCCCTCCCATCCCCCCCAGCAAGGTGGTCAGTGCTGACAGGTGAGCTCAGAGATGGTAGAGGGGCGGGGGAGGGCCTGGGCCCTGCTTGCCTCGCAGCAGCCCTGCCCTCCCTACTGGCTCAGTAACAGTAGATCTGCTTACAAAACTCCTCCATCTCTTACCTCGTGGGTCCCCCTCAACCCCGACTCAGGCACTGAGCTCTGCAGTCTGGGTCTAAAACTCCCAGCCCTCCCCTAACCCGGTGACCTGAGTACTGCGCCCGGGCCCCAGGGGAGGCCAGACCAGGACGCCATGCCACCTCTTTCGTGCTCCACCTGTGCAGCCGTCCCTCACTCAGAGCAGGAGCCTGTAGGGAGTGGGGCCCAAGGCCCTCCGTTCACACCCTGGAGCAGTGCAAAGGGGGTCCCTGCAAGTAGTCAGCAGGCCAGTCTGCTCCCTGCTCCCCCCGCCGTAGACCTCCCAGCCCACCTGCACCATGCACCGTCTGTACTGTGGTCTCCACAGTGTTTTTTCCTTTATATCAATGGGTTGACTCTTTTTTTCCATCATGCTGTACATTAGATCTTAGACTTACTCATCATATATGGCTTCTCTGGTGGCTCAGTCAATAAAGAATCTGCCTGCAATTCAGGAGACCCGAGTTCAATCCCTGGGTCAGGAAGATCCCCTGGAGAAGGAAATGGCAACCCACTCCAGTATTCTTGCCTGGAGAACTCCATGGATAGAAGAGCCTGGTAGGCTACGGTCCATGGGGTCGCAAGGGTCAGACACGACTTAGCAACTAAACCACCACCATCATATATAAATCCAACGCTGTAATCTTTGACCAAGCTCTCTGTCTTCCCCCTAACACCCGCCCCTGGTAACCACCGGTTCTATTCTCTGCTTCTATGAGGTTAACTTTTTTGGATTCCACACACCAGTGAGATGATAACAGTGTTTGTCTTTCTGTGTCTGGCTTTTTTCACTGAGCATAATGTCTTCTAAGTTCATCCATGTTTTCACACATGGCAGGATTTCCTTTTTAAAAAATTAAAACATTTTTAGGCTGAATGCTATTTCATCATGATTTTCTTTATCCAATTCATCCTTTGATGGACACTAAAGTTGTTTCCAGTCTTTGGCTATGGCAGTAATGCTGCAGTGAACATGGGGCTGCAGATAGCTCTGGAGACAGTGATTTCATTTCCTTCAGATGTGTGTCCAGTAGTGAGATTGCTGGATCATTTGGTGGCTCTATTTTAACTTTTTGAGGAAGCTCCACTGTTTTCACCAGTGGCTGCACCAACTTGCATTCCCACCAACAGTGCATGAAGGTTCTCTTTTTTAAACTGACTTTTTTTTTTTAACTTAGCCTCATCCTAAACAGCAGTAACTACAAAATCACGGCTGTGATATACCTGTTGTATAACCTTTTAATGCATAGTAAATTCTTTTTAAAAAGGTGTAACTATTAAAATTAAAAGTGTTCAACCATGTACCAGCCACCGTAGCCTACCAGTGAGACGTGCTCCTCACATGCTGGGCCAGGTCTGGTCCAGTGCTGAACCTGTCCTGACAGCGAGGCCACGGCTGGGGGAGGCTGGCCATGTCACAGGGCTTGGGACATGCCCAGTACCGTGTGGAGTTGGTGTCCAGGCCTGCTGCCGCCAACGGTCCACCTGGAGGTGGGATCCGAGCTCCCCCAGCCTGGAGGTGGGATCCAAGCTCCACCAGCGCTCCACCAGCACTTTGCCTCTTGGGGCCTGGGTTCCTCATCTCTGCTTGGGGGCAGTGACCCTACGCGACCCCTGCATTGTACAGCGCCAGCCTGGACAGCCCCTTCCCAGCCTTTTCTTCCCCCTGGCCAGTAGGAAGGATATGGGCATGAGCCAGCTGTGGGGGAAACTGTCCCTCTCGCTCTCACCCCCCATCAGCTCCTCCCTTGCTTTCTGCCAGCACCAGGCCATTGTCCCTGTGGGCCAGACCTGATATGACCCAGCTCAGGAAGCCTGCCAGATGCCCTGGCACCCTTCCCATCTGTCTGGCTGGCCGGACGTGGGTTGGGTTGTCCGGCCTCAGGGACTCGGGCCAGTGCCCTGGCTGACCTGACCAGCCTCAGTCCTGAAGCCACGGCTCCCAAAGTGAGGGAAGAGGCTCCTTCGTGTGCCCGCAGCGGGCAGCGCCCCCAGCGCTTCTAGGAGGAAGGGCAGCTGCATTGTAAACGGGGCTTCTGCGGAAGGAGGCAGGATGTGGGGTGCTGTGCCAGAGAGGAGGCACCCTGTGCCCCTCTGTCCGGGGCCTCTCGGGACCACGTCACTGTCCCAAGGGCATCTGGGGAGGCGACAGTCACTCAGAGGCCTGGCGAGCCACGCCCATGGCGGGAACCTGGAGGACCGGTGCCCGGACAGTGCAGAACCTTCCCGTGTGCCCTGGGGACGTTCGAGAAGAAAGAAGGTATAGCCTGCCCTCTTTCGGTGCACACGGTGAGAGTTGGGGTGAAGGCTCTGGAACATCCAAGGGGGTTCTCATGCCCCACTTTCCTCAAAGAACTTTGACCCTGGTCCTTGGCCCCGCCCCAGCCAGGCATCTTTCCCTAAGAAACTGGGGCTGGTGCCTCTGGAGACAAGCAGGTGGGCAGAGCCCATGAGGTGGCACCCAGGAGCCTGGCTGGATAGTTAACTCACAGCCCTTCCGTTTCCTGGCTGGGTGACTCTAGGTACCCACCTCCTTGCTTTATTGCTTCATTTGTAAATGAGGGCAGAGTCAGGTGCCTTGCAGCACTGCTGTGGGTGGAATGCCCTCCTGTGTGTAAAGCACAGGGCAACTCCTGCTGGCATCAAGCAGAGCTGGCAAACAGAGGACGTGGGATTCAGAAATCATGTGTGGCATCACAGCGAAAGCCCATTTACAAGGAGTGGGTGATGAGGAGGGGAACAGGGGCCAGAGACTCGGGCATTCATCCTTTCCTTAGGCGCTTGTTGAGTGCTTGTGCCATGCCCAGTTCTGTGGGCACAGGCCTCCAGCGGTCGTGAATCAGACTGTTCCTGCTCTTTAGATCCACTGCCTGGGGCGGGGAGCCGTTTGCACCCAGGCACCAGGAGGAGCCCTGCCCCCTCCAGCCATGACCTCCCCTGGCCTCTCACAATCATCTTGGATGGGCTCCCGGAGCCCAAGGCTGGTGTGAGCCCAGAAGAACGGGCCTCTGCGGTGGGAAGGGAGGGATGCAGTATGAAGATTCTCAAAGCAAAGCCTAATGACCACATACAGAACCCCTGTAGGGAGGTCTTAGCATGCAGATTCCTGGGGCTCAGGACAACTGAATCAGAATCTCCCCAGTGACACAGATGTCCACTGCAGGGTCAGTACCTCTAAAGTGGGACAGATCACCAGGGAGACTTCACGTGGAGGGGATAAAAGTGTCCAGGAGGATGCTGAAACTTTGAGCCTGGTGTTATTCATGCCGGAAAAGAGACTCTTACTCTTTATAAAACCTGGGAATTAACCAGCTGGGTAATCCAGGGACCCCTTTAGACTGCACCTATCCATTAGTCACTGGAGCTAAAAAGTTGCCCTGCAGGTCAGAGGACCCAGCTGGGTTACCCGCCCCCCAATGCCAGGATGAAACAGAAAAGGACTTGGTGAGGAAGAGGATTGGGAGGGAGCTGCCATTCCCTGGCACCCAGTGAGTGCCAGGCTTTCCACGTGGAGGTGATCTCTTCCCCTGGACAACCTCAGGAGGGCTTGGGCAGCAAGGTGTGGTGGGGAGGATTGGAACCCAGGTCTCTGGGACTCAAGAATCTTGAGTTCTTTCTGAAGGTTGTGGGCTCCAGGGTGCTGTGGTCTGCTTTATGTTCCACAGACTGGATGCAGGGTGACTGCGGACCTCATGGTATCACCTCTATTTCCAGTGTGCTCCAGACCTTCCTGGGTGATGTCCTCCGAGGTGGCATGGGCCCCCAGAAGTCTGTCACAGGAGCAGTTTCTCTGGTTCTCTTCCCCCGGGATCTACTGTGGGAGAATTGGTGGCTGGTTCTGTTAAATGATAATTTTTAACAGAGTATACTGCCAAACATTGTACTTAAGTAATGAGAGAGCCAGTAATACATTAACCACCGGTTCACAGGAGAATTCAAAGTACTGTACATATAAGGCAAATAGATGCAAAACTGGCTGAAAACGATTTTGTATAAATTCTAGATAATTGATAGTCATGCAAATGCAAAGAAAGTGACAGAAATGTGGATCCCACATTTCTTTGGACAGGAATCATTAGCATGGCCATCAGTTATCTACAATTTATAGAGTTGCGAAATAGCTCAAAGACACAAAAGGCCAGAGAACCTCAGAATCAGGTAAACCAGAAGGCTGTGCTTAAGACAGCGCCTAGTTTTGCACTGCGGACACCCAATAATTTTTTCATGTCAGAGTCTTTCAGTTACCCGAAGTGGGCCACTGATCTGGCTCTGAGCTTCCTAGCAGCCAAACCAAACAAAGAGGAAGCAGCCTCAAAGTCAGTGTACATAAGGGCAGATTTATACTAGCTGTTCACCGTAAGTGCAACTTTGCGTCGCGTTGAGACCAGATTATCCTTGGGAGGGATGTGGGGGCAACACCAGGCGCAGGTGCTGGAGGTGTGCTAGGCTGTGGGTGGTGGGGGGGGCGTATCCACGTTGAGACCCTGTCTGATGCTGCTGCTCTTCTCGGCAGGCTGCCGGGGGCTGTGGGACAACACCAGCTGCTGGCCATCCTCTGCGCTGGGACAGACAGTGGAAGTGGCATGCCCGCGGTTCCTCTGGATGCTCGTGGGCAGGAATGGTAACATCTCAGCCCGGGGGGCCGACTGGGCAGCTGTGGGCAGCCCTGCGGGTGGGCCTTGGCCTGGAGGCGCGCGGCCAAGACTCCTCTGGGGACAGGGAGTGAATGGGAGGATGGGAGTGGTCCCTGCTGGCGACTGGAAGCCTCGCTTGGGGGTGTGTGGGGTGGGCTGAGTTCTCGGTGCCAAGCAAGGGGCCAGGGGGCCAAATACCAGGGAAGGGTAAAGGAGGCCAGGCCTGCTCCTCTCTGCCCTGTGTTCCCACTGAGGGGGCTCCCCTCCTTTCTTCCACATTTCTGGCCCTTTAGCACCCGGGGCCCTTGCTCCAGCCCTTGTGTCTGGGTCCCGCTTAGCCTGGGCTGGCCTTCCGGGACACTCACTTCCTCCGTGCCCTCTCTACTAGGCCCTGCGGATGAACTCTGCCCTCTCTGGAAGCTTCTGGTCTCCTGAGCGATCTCTCACCCGAGCAAAGCTGCAGTTTATACGGATTTCCTTAATTTTAGACGAGGGAGTGAGGAAGTTGTCTCAGACAGGGAACACTTAGGGACTAACAGGGGCTAACGCTGGACCAAACCCTGTCATGTACTAGGCATTTTTACAGATCTAAACTTTAGTTGTCACAAAACCCCTGCAAACCACAGACCTTTTCTCTCCACTTGGCCCAGTTAAAGAGCAAACGTAACAAGGTCTGAGACGGGTTTCGCTTTGGCTTCAGATTCGCAGCTGGGAGGCGGGGAGACAGGCGCTGCAGTTTCCTCTCTCGGCCACCTGGGGTCACTGTGGGGCTGCAGGGTCCGCCCACCTGCGCGGTCTCACGGAGGCGCTGCCCTCTGGGGTCCATGCTAGGGATCCGGGGCGTGGTTGGGGGATGCGGGTCGGCGGGGATCATCTCAGCCTGGGCCTACTGTGCTCATACCCAGCTGCGGGCCCAGGGGATTGGCCAGCCCAGGGGCATAGGTCAGGACCAGTCCAGCCTCAAGTTACTGAGAACCATCTCTCCTCTATCTGCTCTCTCCCCATAAATCCACCTTGGGTCTAGAGTCTGAAGAAAGGCTCCTCAGTAGCATCCCAAGGGTTCCAGGACTTCCCACCCCAACAAAGGAAGGTGTGTCCAATGAGAACAAGCTGGTGCTCCAGACTCATCCCTTTGAAAGAAGAAAAAAAGTAGAATAAACTAACTCTTTCTCAGGGCACCCACTACATGGGCCCAGGCAGCATGTCTGTGTGGCTGGGAAACCACAGGCTGGATTCTGTACCCAGATACTTGTGTGTCTGTGCTGGAGCCTAGAATATTCCGTCTAGGATGCATTCCTTTGATTCTTAAGAGGGCCCTGGTCTTCCAGTATTTCTTCTTTAAAAACACACTTCCTGAGTGGGGTCAGACCTTGGCTTTCTTTCCCTTCTGTCTTGGTGGGGGATTGGGAGCCTTACTGCAGCAGATTCCTAACCTGATGAGGCTTTAGAGAGTCACATAAAAGCTTTGACCTGGCTCTTCCCCTGGACTGCTTGCGTGTGCATGCTCACGCAAACACACATATGCACAAAAATACTGACTGTACTTTTGGGGACCCTTGAAGTGGTCACTGACCTGAACCTAGGTCAGAACCCCTGACATATTAGGAATTAAACTCAGGGGGAGTGGATGGGAGCCCATGGGAACCCACCCCTCGTCTCCTCTGTGGTTCTACTAGGAGCCATGTCAGCAGGGGGCATCGCCTTGTTCACTGCCCTGGGCACCTGGCCTGCATCTTATGCAGCGTGGTCTTGGGAATCCTGCTGGGTCGGTGAGGAGAGGCGTCCAGACAGACAGCCCAGCCTCCAGCGATACACTGTCTGATAACCACTTCTGGATTCCAGGGAGTGTGTGTGCTTTTATTTCAGTTTCTTGTCCAACCAGCCGCCCTTTGACCACCATTCTTTCCTCTCTGACAACCTGGCTTGCTTGATTTAATAACAGAAAGCTTCCACTCATCTCCTAAATTCCAAGACTCCAGGCCCCACCATTTGTGGTCTAGTTCAGAAAGGCCAGAGGCAGAAGGGAAGTAGCCCTATGGCTCCGTCTCTGTGTCCAGCACCAGCCTGGATTTCCTGCCCCGTCCTGCAGTGTAGGTGCTTATTCCCATTTGGTACAGAGAAGTGATGCCCCTCAGGCCACACAGCAGCCAAGAGCCAGTGCTGGGTTTTGGACTTAGATCTGGCTGGTTCTTGACCCGTGCTCCAGGTCTTCTGAGCCATCATAGACCTGGCATGCGTAGAGCCCAAAGGCCACGGTCTCCTGCTGGAGTTGCCTCTGGGATCTCAGGGACGGGGCAGGCAGGAGGGTGGGACAATGATGGGCCACGTCGTGGCTGGCTCTGTTGCCCAATTCTGGGCCTTGGTTTTCTTGTCTGTGAGACAGGCCAGCAAAACCTCCCTCAGAGGAATGCCGTTAGGATCAGTGTGTTAACACAGTGGCTAGTTCTAGAAATGGCCACCATGTTTCTCCTGCTGAGTGGAATCTGTTTGGTCCTAAACCCCCAGAGACGGTGGCCTAGGCCGTGGGGCCAGTCAGCGAGAATCACACCAGGCCCAGCTCGGGTGGCTGGGGAGCCCCGACAGGATACTGGTTGGAGCAGAAGGAGCAGCAGGGCTCCTTTGTACAGAGCTGGGGTCAGCCCCCTGTGGCCTCGGCAGCAGCCAGGCCTGGGGACCGCAACTCGGCCCCCCTGGCAGCCCAGGGTGGTGGATGCAGCCGAGCTGCAGTCACTGCAGGCGGGGAAGCCCCCCGCGCGGCTTTCCCAACTTCTGTCTTTGCCTGGCAGCTCTTCTACCCCAGTCTTGGTGCTCTCGCTCTAAAAATCTCCTCCTGGGTTAGCTCTTCCGTCTTCCCTTGTGAAAACGCTTAGAGAGGGCCCTTCCTCCTCCCTCATTGCTTTCCTAGCCAGCCAGCCCACAGATGTTTGATGAGCAAGGGCTCCGGGGAGGCAGGCCCTAGGGAGCCCCTGGGGTCTCTGGGAGGGGAGGCAGGGGAGCCATGGTCCCTTCCGTGTGAGAGGGGCACAGTAGCCTCGAGAGACAGAGGGCCGCAGTGATCTCGCGGTTTATAGCGCAGAGCGGCGTCCAAAGGCGGCTCCCTGAGAGGGTATGCGCGGTAGCTCCGCTGATTTTCAGACCCTGGGGAGCAGGGTGTGAAGTTATGTATAAAGTAGAACTTCTGGGACTTCCCTGGTGGTCCTATGGCTAAGACTCCACACTCCCAGTGCGGGCGGAACGGGTTTGATCCCTGGTCAGGGAACTAAGATCCTGCATGCTGCAAGGCCAAATCAATAAATAAATAGAACTTGTTAGTGCAGGAGTAGAACCAGGAGCCTGTGAAAAGTTAATTATGGGTGTGGCCAGGTCCTCACCAACCAGGCAGATTTCTCTGGGGGACTCACCCATTAAATGGCTGTTCCTAATAACTCAGTTGGTAAAGAATCCGCCTGCAATGCAGGAGACCTGGGTTCAATCTCTGGGTTGGGAAGGTCCCCTGGAGAAGGGAAAGGCTACCCACTCCAGTATTCTATCCTGGAGAATTCCAGCCCATGGGGTCCCAAAGAGTCAGACACGAGTGAGTGACTTTCACTTTTCAGGGCCTGGGAGCAGGAAGAGCAGAGGAAGAAAGGGGGTTAGTACAAAGCCTGTGGGTAAGAATATCGGCCTGAGCCCTGGGGTTCAAATCCCATGTTCTACATTGACTGGAGTGTGGTCTTGAGCAAGTTCTTTAACCACCGTGTGCCTCAGTTCTCCTAGCTGTAAAATGGGTGTAGTATTCTCATGTTACAATACATTTTACTATAAAAGTAACAGTGCCGACCTCATAGTCTTGTTAGGATTGAATGAGTTAATACCTCTCACATGCTTAGAACAGTGCCTGGCACATGTGTATTGTTATAGTAGAGCGTGAGGTTTTGTAACTGAGTAAACACATGGTCATTAGTGTGAGGCCAGTGTTGTTTGGCTTGGGGTGTGTAACCTGCCGTTCTTAAGCACTGCATACGGCCTCTCTCATCATCGGAGGCGCTGCCATGCCTGCCAGAGGGGGGTCTTACTATTCTCTGAGGGGCACCCAGCTAGCCGAGCAGTGACCCTGGAAGTTGTGCTGGGCCTGGGGCCTGGGACACGTGTCGGTCACCTCCCTCGTGGTGGAGCCTGGTGCCTGGCCCAGGGGGTGTGGGGCGTGGGTGTGGGTGAGGCCGTGGGGGCGCAGAGGGAGGTGGGCAGTGCTCAGAGGCTGGGGGGTGGGGTGCTCACGGCTCAGCGCCCACCAGGTGTGTAGGTCAAGGGACCCAGAACCGCGGCTCTGTCCCTTACAGTACACGCGCACCGCACTAGGGCTGTGTGCCCACACGCCTCTCCTACCTCTGTCCCGGACTGAGTCTCACAAAGCCTTCAAGGGTCAGCTGAGCAGTTGGAGCTGTCCTGTGGGGTCCGGAGGAGGGGACAGGGTGACCGAAGGAAGCCCCCTCCAACGGCAGCTGAGGCGGACAAGGGCGCCCAGAAACCTGGCCATCTGTCCGTCCCCCCGCTCACCCCAGGATGCTCGGTCCCCACAGGTTCCATGTTCCGGAACTGCACACAGGGCGGCTGGTCAGAAACCTTCCCCAGACCTGACCTGGCCTGCGGGGTCAACGTGAACGACTCCTCCAGCGAGAAGCGGGTAAGCCTGCCCCGCCTCCCTGCGGGGTGGAGGGGCCTGGGGAGGTAGCGTGAAGCCGGCCCAGGGCTAGGTCGGCTGACCCGGGGCTGCCCTCTTCAGCCCCACACCCTCCCAGCTCTCTGTCCTGGCCCGCCAGCCTGGAGGGGGGGGACCCTGAGGACCGCGGCGCAGTGGGAACAGCCACATGCCGTGGGGACGCGGGGGCCAGGTTGGCCTGAAACCCAAAACACAGTGATGGGGCTAAGTGCTCGGGCCAGTGTGAGTCTGAACCTGCCCTGTGGCCTTGGTGGGGGGTGGGGAGGATGCAGCCTCTCTGTGCCTCAGTTTCTCCATCTGGGAAATGGGGTGAGTAATGGTCCTGACCTCGTCAGGAGGAGCAGAGTGAACCCTGGAAGTGCTGGGGAGGCTGAGGGGCCGCAGCGCCTGCTCACAAAGGTCCCTTCTCAGAGGAGACTCAGGCTCCAGGAGGCAGGAGCACCCGGCTGCAGGCAGGCCTGGTTTGAGAGAAGATGCTGGCGTGTGGGCGCCCTGAAGAGGCCATTCTGTTCAGAGTCCTTCCTGAAGGAGATTGGGTGGGGGACTCTAGTGAAGGATGGAGTTCCTTCTCTCCCAGGGCTTATCATCCAATTAGGGAAGATACGTGAGGTCTTCAGATCCAGGTGGAATAATTTAATAGAGATTACGCATGGCTTTGGAGGGCCAGTGAATGGGCCCTGACCTCTGTAGAGTTCTGTTTCTGTCTCTGACCTATGTGAAGACAGGAGGCTTATGTGGATCACCTTTGTAAAGTCTGTAAGATTCAGAACGATCACATGTATGGATGGCAGGATGGAGGTTCAGAAGGATGCATGGGCTGCAAGTGACAGAAACTTCCAAGGGGCTTCATAAGCTAATGTGGCTCATGTAACTAGGATGCAGAGGACGGGCGTCGGGCGCTTGTAATGAAGCAGTACCACTCAGGATGAGGTTTTTTTCGATCACTCTTCCTGATAGCCTGGTGACTTATCCCGGGACTGGGATCCTGTTGTCAGGTGTGTGCCATTGGTGATAGCAGCCGCAGACTCCCAGGCCTGCTTGGCCAGGAGGAGGGACAGCCTGACCTCTCTTGCTAACCGCAGCAAAGCTTCATATGCAAACAGCCAGTAAGCCCGTCCTCACATCTCACTGACCCAACGTGACTTGAGCCGGTCCACCTCTGCACCTTTCCTGGCAGAGGGATGGGACACATGCATGGCTTGGACCAGCAGTTCTCAAACTTTTTGGCCTCAGAAACCTTTTATACCCTTAGGAATTACTGAGGACCCTAAAGTGCTTTTGGTTTTTTGAGTTATATCTGTTGAAGCCACACTTAAGAACTGTTGGCTAACATTAGTCAGCTGGATAAGAACAAAGGCCAGGGCCTGAACCATGATATTCATGGCTGGGATGAAACTCTAAAATGCCAGAGAAGGTGCAGAGATTTAACAAAGATAAATGCAGAGTTCTGGACTTAACTGAGAAAATTAATTGCCCAAAAATAGTAAAAAAAAAAAGACCTACTATAACTTCAGCTCATGTAAAAAAAGATTAGAATCCCTAAGATTGGTGGAAGTTTTTCCAGATCATGGGATACACTGGTCCCTGATGCCAGACCACAGACGAGCACAGCCTTTGTCTTTTTAATTTTTTTCATTTTGGCTGTGTGGCTTGTGGGATCTTAGTTCCTCAACCAGGAATTGAACCTGGGCCCTTGGCAGTGAACGTGTGGAGTCGTAACTCCTGCCCTGCCAAGGAACCCCCAAACTCAGTCTTCTATTCTGGGAACTGGCTCATCCTTCCTGAGTGCCAGAGTGCCTTTTTTAATCGAATGACTGTGAAGTATGCATTTACTGATCGTCTTTTTGCAACTTCCTGACTTAGCACGCGCCAGTTGCCAACAGTGGACTCAGATTAGCAGAAAGGCCAGGCAAAGCTGCCACGTGGATACATAAAGCTGACTTTGTTTACCCGGAGCAGAGGTTAGAAAACTAGGGCCCTTGGGCCAAATCCAGCCTACCACTGCTTTTGCAAATAAAGTTTTATTGAAACACAGCCACGTCCATTTGCATGGCAGGGGCTAAATTGAGTAGTTGCAAAAGAGATGGAATGTTTAAGCTTACATGTTTGCTGTGTGCCCCTTTATGGAAAATGTCTGCTGTCCCCTAACGTAGAGGATGGAGAAGGAAGGGGCCCAGTCAGGACGCACAGCAGAGAGACAGGTAGCCTCATCCAGGACCGACGGCAGCGAGGCTTCCTTCTGGACCCCTAGCCCTCCGGGGGCAGGTGTCGCAGAGGCTGAGGCCACTGAGCTCACGTCTGGCTTTGGGGGAACAGTGCTCTTTTGGGGTCAGATCTCGAAGACAAAGGCAGAGCTGGCTGGGATGTCCTGAGGGTCACTTGGCAGACGGTAACCCAGCCACAGGACAGCATGCGATACTCAGCCTGGACCCTCTGCACTTGTCATCCATGCCTCCTCGCGCTGCCACAGGCTGACCCGCTGCTTCCGACCCAGGGCTGCAAAACCAGGTGTCTGCTGAGTGAGCTGATGCCCTCAGCTCTGGGGTGCATCCTGCACATGGCAAGATCCTAGGGGTGACACCTCAGTCTCCAGACTTTTGACATTTCATTGCTCTTTGAAATCCTAAAGGCTAGGAACCGTTAACCCAATGCAACCTGCTGCCCTCTTGGTTCCCTGCACTCATTCCTGAGAGGTGGCTCCTGGCTTCTGGAGTTGCAGTCACCTCAGTGGGGAAGGGCAGTGTCCCATGGCAGCTAACCTGTGAAAAGTCCCCCCTGCTGTCAGAAGAATTTTGGTCCCTCTGAGTCAGATCTACTTTCTGATAACTTCTGCCCTGTCTGGAGCTTACAATTCAGTCTTACTCTTTTAGACATCAATCATTTTAATATCCTTCTTCCCTAACTTTGTTTCCTTCAGGATGTGGTGCACTAAAGTATTTTAATGCACTCTTCAGATGACATGGCCACCCCCCTCCGGAAATGCTCCAGTTCATTAATGTTCCTCTTAAAATAACACACCCAGGCCTGGAACACTCCAGACATTCCAACGTGGCTTGCTCCTCCACAGCACGCCATTAATGAAGCCGAGAAGAGGCCTAATTGTTCTAGCAGCTACCTCATGCCTCATACTTCATACCACAGTCTTGGACTGCTGACTCAGACTTAACAGTGGATAGTGGGGTAGAGGGTGAAGATGGAGAAGATTAACACGGACTGAGGTCTTCTAAGGGCCAGGCATTGTCTAGATACTCTACCCGATACCGTAATTGTTCTTCTAAAAAGCCTGCACGGTGGATATTATCCCCATTTTACAGATGAGGAATCTGAGCCTCCCAGAGAAGTTTAGTGACTTGCCCAGGGTCACACAGAAGTTGAGTGATTTCCCAGGACTGCTGAATAGCGGCAGTCCTAGGTTTGGAGCCCTTGTCTCTCGACTCTGAAGCCTTTCCGTGTTCCCCCGCAGACACTTCTGTAACACCGTGGCGCGTGGGCCACTCAAACCTCAAGGTGGCTTTCGTATGAACGCCTGCCAGATTTCCTCAGTTAGTGACTGTGTGCTGGTGTTTTCTTGTTACCCTTTTCTTCTGGTTACAAGACAATACCTACCACTGAAGAGAAGTGAAAAGCACAGAAAAAAGTGCAAATGAAAATAATGACTGTATCCACCAGTTTATCATCTAATCACTAATATCTAACACAACTCCTTACGATCTTGTTTCTATGAATGTATGAGATTGAACTGCCTGAGATGACCAATATTCAACCTTTTTTATCTTCAAAAAAGGGAAGAGTCATACAATTCAACCTAACACTTTTCTTTGCATAAAGCAGAAATCACACTGTACATGTAAAAGTGTATTCTGCCTTTTCACTTAGCATTACATTATGTCCTGACATCTTTTGCAACTCTTGATAAGTAGCATTTTAATATAGCCTAATTTTGAAATAATTTGAACTTAAAAGAATTTGGTTAACTATTCTGTTGTTGGGCATTTGCATGTTTTTCATCAAAAATAGTCCTGTGATAAACATCTTTATATATAAATGTGCTTTTATATTTCTGATAATTCTTAGAATTAATTCCTAGAGGTAGACGGGAAGTCAGAAGGAATGCGTGTGGTTTTTGATCTGTGCTATTTTCCAGAGAGACTGAGCCAGTTTTCACTCCCACTGGACCCTCACCTGAGGCTTCCCTGGGGGCTCAGTAGTAGAGAATCTGCCTGCAATGCAGGAGACCAACTGCAATGCAGAAGACATGGGTTCGATCCCTGGATCAGGAAGATCCCCTGGAAGAGGAAATAGCAACCCACTCCAGTATTGCTGCCTGGGAAACCCAATGGGCAGAGGAGCCTGGTGGGCTACAGTCCACGGGGTCACAAGAGTCGGACACGACTTAGCAACCAAGCCACCGCCACCACATAACCTCACCTACATGGAATATTAGTACTTTTAAATATTAGTTAATTTGGTTGGTAAAAAAAAAATGGTATGGCATTATTGCTTTACTCTTTATTTCTTTGATTCTTTTAGAGACTGTTGTACAATTTATTTTTTGAAACTAAAAAATACAGGTCTTTACATTTGTTTCTATATACATTATTCTACTCCCTTGAGATGTTGAGTCAAAGCTGAGCCAGTAGTGTGCAGTGGCTGCTGAATAAGTCATGACTGCCTGGCGGCATTGATAGGGGCACAGTGTATAGAACAGGGATTGCCGTGGTAAACCAGGGCCCACTCTGCTTCTCACTGGTCAGAGTACATCTGTAGCTTCTCAAGTGTCTGGTTCAGGGTGTCTTGTTTAAGAAGGACATTCACAAACTGTAGCATGTTAATTGAGGGAAAATAGTGATGGGTAATGGAAAGAGATTAAAGACATGGGGAATACTGAATGCTGAGTAAGTGGGGAACAGTTGGGCAGAAGAACTGTGTTCAGAAAGGACAGACCTCTCTGTAGCATCTTTGTCACTCGTCTATAAGTCTAAAGCTATTCTACCATGAAAAAGTTATTTTAAAAATAATGATGAAAAAAAGAAAGGGATTTCCCTGGTGGGTTAGTGGTTAAGACTCTGCGCTTCCACTGCAGGGGGCACAGGTTCGATCCCTGGTCTGGGAACTAAGATCCCACATGCTGTGCAGTACGATCTGAATAAATTAAATAAAAATACTTAAAAAAATAATGATAGGCTTTAGGTATAAGAGAGATTCACTTTACTTTCAGTGACTCCAGAAGCAGAAAATGGACCAATAGGTGCAATTTAAAAGTAATAGGTTTTAGAGTCACTTGAGAAAAAATATCTAATACTTTGCACTGTTGTACAGTCAGTGAGTTCCTCAAAAACCAGTGAAGATGCCGTCCCTGGAGGTATCCAAGCAAAGACTTGAATTCAGGGTGGCGATCAGGGTCCTTGTGTATGGGGTAGAAATTTGAACTGGCATCAGATGATGCCCAAGGTCTTTTCCCAAACCAAGATATCATGAGTCTATGAATTTGTGTGCTTTGGGTGTGAACAGAATAGCAGTCAGAGTTGAAGGGGCTCAAGCCTCCTGGAGCAGGTCAAAGGGCGGATTCAGTCGGTGGGTAGGCGAGCTGACCGAGGCCTCTCTCTGCAGTACCAGTACCTGCTGAAGCTGAAGGTCATGTACACCGTGGGCTACAGCTCCTCCCTGGTGATGCTCCTGGTGGCCCTCAGCATCCTCTGTGCCTTTCGGTAAGAACAGGGACCAGCTCTCCATCTCCCTAGCCTTCCCCAGGCACAGCACTTTGGGTCTCTTTTGTTTGCTCAGACCAGAGGAAGGAAGGTCTGGGTGGACCACTTTGTCTTCTCTAGATCTCAGGCTTACCTGTGGCAAAACACTGAAGTTTCTGTGGCCTCCTTCATTCCTTCATTCATTTGACATTTACTGAACATCACTAAGAACTTACTGTGCTGGTTGCTTTAAATGTGTTATTTCTGATGTTCACACAATGTTAAGAGATAGGTATTGCCCTCATTTCACAGATATACTAGCCAGACTCATGTTTGCAAGAAACAGAAATCCATCTTAAAACATTTTAAGAAAAGCAAAGGTGACCTGAAGCTCTTAACTGATAATTTCAGGGGCATCTGGCTTCAGGTGTGGCTGTCTAGATTCTCAAAGGTATGAGTAGACCTAGGTCTGTCTCCTACCATTGCTTTGCCCTGCATTGGCCTCAGGCAGGCTTTAGGCAGGGACAGTAGAGACACCCCCAGCAGCTGCAGAGACACATTCTACTAGCTCAGCAGCACCAGGGCAGGGAGACCCCTTTCTCCATCAGTTGCCCTGAAAGTCCTGGGGGAATTCTTATGGGAGAGCAGGCTTGGGTCACATGCCCAGCCCTGAGCCAATCACCACAGCCAGGTGTGGAGTGCTCTGATTAGTCAGGTCTCTCATGAGGATGGGGGTGGAGTTGTCCACACCCAGAGCTGGAATGGGTCCCCCATATGAAAACCTGGTTCCTATAGGGAAGGAGGGGAACGGGTGGCAGACTTCTGCCCCTACGGCAAGGAGGACACCTAGGCTCTGGTTGGTGAAAGGCTTGCTTTAGGCCACGTAGCTGAAAAGAGGCAGAGCCTGGATCTGATTCCTCCCCACGGCCTGTGTACTTTCTCTGCCTATCTTCCCCACACTCCCTTCTAACAGTTCTGGGAGCTGCAGGTGGTGGTTGAGGCAGAATTGAATCCCACTCTTATAATCTCAGCATTTTTTTCAATTGCAGCATGACACAGTAGGCTGGCCACTGGGGGCCTGGGCTCGCATTCGGGTTCTGCCAACAGGGAAATTCATAGAGGTGTCACGTCCAGTATCTGGGTTTCCCTGGCGCATGGGGTAGGGGGTGGGGGCGCTGAGCTGGACCCTCCGGCTCTGCCACCTATGGCCCTGCATTCTTTTTCCCCAGGAGGCTCCACTGCACCCGCAACTACATCCACATGCACCTGTTTGTGTCCTTCATCCTGCGTGCCCTGTCCAACTTCATCAAGGATGCTGTGCTCTTCTCCTCCGACGATGCCACCCACTGCGATGCCCACAGGGTAACATGCCCGCATGGCCCATGGTGTGGCCAGGCCTGCCTGCTTCCCCCCCAACCCCATTCATTGAGGCTGGATTTAATGCCTAGAAGCAAAGGGGCCGGCACTGGGGCTGGAATAGGAGGTTCAAGGAGTCCCATGTCCCCACACGTGCAGCCTGGGACTCCCAAGAAGGCAGTTTGTTGAGAAGCACACTTGCAGCCTGGGACTCCTAAGAAGGCAGTTTTTTTTTTTTTTTTTAATTTATTTATTTATTTATTTTTTATCACAACCATAGGCAGTTTGTTGAGAAGCTGATGGGGCTACTATTCAACTCCCAGTGTCCTGGAGTGGATCAGCCTTTATGGGAATTAGACACATAGCAAGGCTCCTCCTTCCTCTATTCCTGCCAAGCCCCAAATGTAAACAGATGGCCACATCTAGAGATGGTTGGGATTGTAGAAAGAAAAAGGTGAGCATATCCTGGGCAGGTCTGCATCTGCATGCCCAGATGTGCAGCGGAGCATAATCTCACCCTCTTCCTCCTTCTGAACGCACAGAGGAGTCTTCATTCATTGCAATATCACTCTGTGTATCAGTTGAGTATCTCTTCTGCTGTACATAACACAAAGCTATACATCAGTGGCTTAAACGGCTGGGGGTTGTGCCCCACAGAAGTGGTCCACAGATGGGCAACCCAGAGGTGGCACGGTGGCTCCTTGCCACAATGACCACAGTCCTTTTCCCTTTCTGCTCTGCCAGCTTTGATCCCATGCTTTATACTGCATGTTAGCAGCGTGGCTGCTGCAGCCCCACACCTCACAGCTATGTTTTGGGCAAAAAGGAGGGAAGTCAAGGTTAAACATTTTTCTCTTTGGGAGGCTTTGGCTTTTCATTTGGAAAAGAATGTGCTTCCCAAGACTGTGTTCACATCTCACTGGCTAGAACTACGTCATCTGACTACATCTAACTACAGAGGAAGCTGGGAAGTTGAGTTTTTTTTACTATCGTAGTCTCCGTAGTGTAGGCAAGCAAGGGTAAGGGGACTGGAAATTGAAATTGGTTTAATCAGCCTTCCTGTCACTTCCCACCACTCACATCTGTAATTGCTTATAGTTCTGTTAAGTTTGTGTATTGCTTGTAGTTTTTCATGTGTGTATTTTCTGACTCAAACTGAAACATCCCTCAAGCTGGGCCCCTGTGTTCAGGGAGATTTCCAGGATGAAAGAAGAGTACAGCGTGGAGTCAGAAGATTCTGACCCCACCTCATCACTGACCAGTGAAGTCCAGCAATGCCCAGCAGGGAACCTTTTCAGGTTCTTCTAAACTGTAGACTCACCAGCCAGCCGTGGGCCATGCCTGGAGTGAGTCTCCAGGAGACCACAGGCAGGGTGCATACCTGGCCAGCAGGTGGCCCTGGGCCCTCTGTGGCCGTGACCCTCCTGTATTTTGTCAGCAGCCCTCTGGCCATCCCAGGAGCTGTCCTCTCTTCAGGGAAAGACTAGGGAGAGAAGATGAAAGGAAGGGACCCTCACAGGGTGTCAGTGGGAGCCGTGAGGGCGTGGAAGCCTCGTGCCCCACAGTCCTGCAGGCATGGCTTCCTGGGATCCCGACAGGCGACACGGCTGTCCCCTAAGCCATGGCGGCAGGCAAGGCCACCCCGTGGCACCCCCTTGAATGTTTCAAGGTCTGCAGTCCAGATGCAGCGCAGGTGGGGCTCCTGTATACTCACATCAGTATTGGCTTGTCCCTTCTCCATCTATCTCTAGGAAACTTAACGAGGAAAGAATTTTATTAACCTTTTGCTCAGAAATCCATTTCCCTCTCTAGGCCTCAGGTTCCTCCTCTGAAAAATGCCCTCGTTTGCTGTTGGGAGTTGGGCAATATCTGACACAGTTTGCCAACTGGCGGCCAGTTCCAGAATTTGAATGCTGTGCCTGCTGCTGCAGCAGCCCATTGGCTGTGCTGACAGAGCCCGCTGGCCTATGCACTTCCAGCCTAGAGACATCTACGAGCCTGGTCTTCTGATAGCTGAAGGCCGGGGGGATGGCCGTGGGCCTGAGAGATGCTCTCGGTGGCCTGGCCGCTGACTCCTCCTGCGCCCTTCGTCTCCTGGAGGGAAGCCCAGGGTGGTGGCCTGTGACTCAGCTACCTCTCTTTGTAGGTGGGCTGCAAGCTGGTCATGGTCTTCTTCCAGTACTGCATCATGGCCAACTACTCCTGGCTGCTGGTGGAAGGCCTCTATCTTCACACACTCCTTGTCATCTCCTTCTTCTCAGAACGGAAGTGGCTCCAGGGATTTGTGGCCCTCGGCTGGGGTATGTTCTCTAGGGCACGGTGACTGCGTCACAGGTGGGAAAGGATACGGAGGCAGTAAACGCTTGGGTTCCAGTTTCAGTTCCACGCTTAGTGAAGTTAGTGAACTTGTGTGATCTTAGACAGGTTGCTTGGTGGTTAACTCTCTGGCCTCAGTTTGTCTGTCAAATGGGAAATAATAGCTAAAACCTAGCCCTGATTTCTGGCATCCAAAGCCTTTTATGATTTGATACCCCCAACACCTGTTGCCTTATCTTCCCTAGACATTGCATGCACACGTCCTTGTTCTCACTTCCTTTCTGTATCAGGTAGGGTGCTTTTAACCGCAGCTCTCAGAAAGCCTGACTGAGATAGGCTTTCAGCTTAGAAGGAGTTCATCGGCTCATATGACTGATGAGTCCAGGGGTCACCATTCAGGTGAGGCTGAATCCAGGAGCACAGCATCATTTCTTTTTGTTTTTCTCCTTCACCTCCTGTAACACCGGTGTCATCATTAGGCTGGTGCTCCCAGGGTGCTGTCAGCGGCTTCTGGGCGTCCTCCTGGATTCATTGCCGCATCTAATAAAAGAAAGAGGCTGTGTCCCCGCGTTCCAGCAAATACTCAGATTCACTCTGATTGTTTCACACACATCCTTGAACCAATCACAGGGGCCTGAGGGAGTGGAATCCTCTGATTGGCTTAAGCTACCCAAACACAGAGCTTCTCAAAGGAAATTCAGGATTCAGTCCAGGAAGGAGAGGAAATGGTAGTAAGACAGCCAACTGCAGGTCCCATTGCTTCTCTTCCCCCTTTCCTTTCTGGTCAGTGAAGGTGATGACAATTCTGATTTCTTGAGCACCTACTGTATGTCAGCATTGAGCTGAGCACTTTAATCATCACAACCTCCAGAGGCCTCTTAGGAACCTTGGCTCAGAGACGTGATATAACGTGCTCAGCTCACACTGTGGACAAGGATAGAGTCAAGATTCAAACCAAGGCCTGTCTCTTTGCAAAGCCCCTTAACTCTTACTCTGCCACAAACAAACATCCATCCATCCTTGCAGTCATACACATGTCCATCAGTCTATTCATCTGCCACCCATCCATCCATCCTTCAACTGTTCATTTGATAAACATATGTAAGCTCCCCACTGGGTTCTAGACAGAGTCAGATTTCTGTGAGTGACTCACAGGCTTACAGAGGTAGTCATGTGTACCAGTCTTTAGCTTCATTTACTCTCTTCTTGGTGCCTTTAAGTAAGAAGTGCCCCTGCTAGGAATGCCCTCCACTGTCTTTTCTGCTTGTCTAAATCATGTGCAAGGGTTCTGCCTCTATCAGAAAGTCAGGGAAGTTGCCTGAATTGGCAGAGTTTGCCATGCCCTCCTGCTTCTGAACTCTTGACAGTCTGATTAACACATGACCCTCGGCCAGCGGAAGCTGTAGGGCCCTGCTGATCTGGATTTCCACACTGGTCAGTAGTCCCCAGAGCCTGGGACAAGGGACTTGCCTTATACAACCAACTCTGCCCCAAACATCCCCAATATGGGACCAGCTCCCTGAGCCTTGATTCCCATATCTGGCAGCATTTCCCTGAATGAACATGGACGGTTTCATCATCTATAATATCAGGGTCATAATTTATTCAGCTTTCTTTGAGCACTTCTTTGTGCTCAGAAGGGCTTATGGAGATTCCAAAAATAAAAACGGTTCCACCAGTCAAGGGGTTTGTAGTCTAGCAAGGAGACAAAATTGCACTGTGATAATATCTCCATCACAGATTCTTAGGAGGTTTAATGAGATGAGAGCCTTCTTTTCTTCCTCAAATATTTATTGAGCATCTACTATATGCCAGGGGTTAGAGCTGCACATAAAAGAGCACCAGTTCCTTCTCTGCAGGCCTCTGTGCCTGCACAACCCCAAGGGGACAAGAAGGGACTCAGGAAGGTTGAAAGCTTTCCAACTGTGAGAGACTTTTCTCTTGCAAAAGCAGCAGTTCCTGCCTCAATTTGTACTTATTCCCTGCCCCAGGCCCCGAGATAAGTTGCTTAAATGAGTAGTTGGTCAACCATAAAACTTTGCAAAAAAGTTTCTTTTTTTTTTTTCAAATTAGAAAAAAAAAATTACCATAGTCTCATCTATTGAACATTTTCTGGGGTCTCTTTTTAGACTTTTTTATACTCCTAGTATTTCCCACTTGATTACAATCATCCTGTATGTAGAATTTTGAATCTTGCCTCTTTCCTTAAACAGAAGCATGCTCTGTATTCTTTCAGATCTTCAGTAGACATTTTTAATACTCTGTGGATGTATATAACCAAATACCTATTTTTTTTTTTTTGACGTTAAGATTGCTTCTCATTTTTCACTGTGACAAATAACACAGTGAGGAGTGGTTTTGTGGGCAAAGCTTATTCCATGTGGAATAGAGAATCCTGGAATTGGGACCCCTGAGTCGGAAGGCACAGGCATCTAAACTTTTTAATACTTATCCAAAGCTTTTACTTTTTCAAGGTGGCTGGAGTGTCAGTCTGTGCCCAGAAAAGTGTGACACCTCCGGCTTTCGTAGGAGATGCATGGAGCTCCCTCCCACTCACGGAAGGAGCTCAAGCCAGTGCTTCCCCAGCTGGAGCTGCATTGGAATCATGCAGAGGGCACGTCCACCCGCCCGGCCCTGGGCCCCTCCACCGGCCAGAGTCTTGGTCTGGTGGGCAGGGGTGGAGCCTGAGACTCTGCATTTCTCACTGGGCCCCAGGTGATGCTGACACCCCTGTCCCAAGGGCCACACTTAAAACCATAATTTATGCAGTGATCAGGTTTTCTAACTTTTCCACTGACTCACTGTTAAAGATGTAAAACAATAATAAACAAGTGGCCCTCAGAGTCCATATTTGCCCAAAGTACCCAGAATTTAGGTGAAGAAATTTTTTATCAATGTCATACATGCACTTGTTCTAAAGAATTAGATAGAAGTACAAGTCTAGGGCTTCCCTGGTGGCACAGGGGTAAGAATCTGCCTGCCCATGCAGGGGACATGGGTTTGATCCCTGGTCTGGGAAGATCCCACATGCCATGGAGCAGTTGAGCCTGTGTGCCACAACCTCTGAGTCCAAGCTCTGGAGCCCCCGAGCTGCACCTACGGAGCCCGTGCGCCTGGAACAAGAGGAGGCACCGCGGCCAGAAGCCCTTGCACCGCTGCAAAGAGTCGCCCCAGCTCTCTGCCGCTCGAGACAGTCTGCACAAAGCAGCAAAGACCCAGCACAACCAAAAGTTTAAAAAATAAATTAGAATTTTTAAAAAGAGGATAAACTGCCTTAAAAAATAAAATGTAAGCCTAAAATGACAAAAAAAAAAAAAAAGTCCCCTGAAAAGGCTCTCACTTCTGTCTCTCAGAGGTAATACCCTCCCATTTTTCAGTTCTTCCTCCTAATATTTACTCTCATATTTCTAAACAATATTCTACTATTTCTTGATTTGTCCATCTGAGATATTATTGGTTGACTCCTTGTGATGGAAGGGAAGGATATAAAATTCTTCATCTACCACCTCCATCTTCCCATTAGAGTTGTTCACATTTTGGGGCTAGATCATATTCAATGTATAAATCATTATGTCTATATAAATATTCCTCATAGCTTAGATGTTAGAGCAACTGCCTGTAATTCAGGAGACCTGGGTTCAATCCCTGGGTCAGGAAGACCCCCTGGAGAAGGAAATGGCAACCCACTCCAGTATTCTTGCCTGGGAAATCCCATGGACAGAGGAGCCTGGTGGGCCATAGTCCATGGGGTCGCAAAGAGTCAGACACAACTGAGCGACTGATACACACACAAATCATATTCAGTGTATACATCATTCATTTCAGTCCAGTCACTCAGTCATGTCCGACTCTTTGGGACCCCATGAACTACAGCACGCCAGGCCTCCCTGTCCATCACCAACTCCCGGAGTTAACTCAAACTCACGTCCATTGAGTTGGTGATGCCATCCAACCATCTCATGCTCTGTCGTCCCCTTCTCCTCCTGCTTCAATCTTCCCCAGCATCAGGGTCTTTTCAAATGAGTCAATTCTTCGCATCAGGTGGCCAAAGTATTAGAATTTCAGCTTCAGCATCAGTCCTTCCAATGAGTATTCAGGACTGATTTCCTTTAGTATGGACTGGTATATATCATTATGTCTATATAAATATTGTTCACTACCAAGCCAAGTGGTGTAAAATTATTTTACTTCTAATATTTGATTTTTTATGTATTATGGAGTCATTTTTTAAATTTAATTTTTATTTTATATTGGAGTATAGTTGATTTACAGTGTTGCATTAGTTTCAGGTGTATAGCAAAGTGGATCAGCTGTACATATACATGTGTCTACTTTCTGCAGATTCTTTTCCCATATAGGTTATTACACAGTAGTGAATAGAGTTCCCTGTGCTATACAGCAGGTCCTTGTTGATTGTTTTATATAACGTCATTGTTCAGTCACTCAGTCATGTCTGACTCTTTGCAACCCCATGGACTGCAGCATGCCAGGCTTCCCTGTCCTTCACCATCTCCCAGAGCTTGCTCAAACTCATATCCATATAGTCGGTGATGCCATCCAAGCATCTGGTCCTCTGTCACCCCCTTCTCCTCCTGTCTTCTATCTTTTTCATCATCAGGGTCTTTTCAGATGAGTCAGCTCTTTGCATTAGGTGGCCAAAGTATTAGAGTTTCAGCTTCAGCATCAGTCCAAAATAAATCAGGACTGATTTATTTTAGAATGGACTGGTTGGATCTCCTTGCAGTCTAAGGAACTCTCAAGAGTCTTCTCCAACACCACAGTTTGAAAGCATCAATTGTGTGGCACTCAGCCTTCTTTATGGCCCTATTCTCACATCCATACATGACTACTAGAAAGACAGACAGTCAGCAAAGTAATGTCTCTGCATTTTAATATGCTGTCTTTTAATAATAAAAAGCTATGTTGCTCATAGCTTTTCTTCCAAGGAGCAAGCATCTTTTAATTTTATAGCTGCAGACACCATCTGCAGTGATTTTGGATCCCAAGAAAATAAAGTCTGTCACTGTTTCCATTGTTTTCCCATCTATTTGCCATGGAGTGATGGGACCGGATGCCATGATCTTAGTTTTTTAAATGTTGAGTTTTAAGCCAGCTTTTTCACTCTTCTTTTTCACCTTCATTAAGAGGCTCTTTAATTCCTCTTTGTTTTCTGCCATAAGGGTGGTATCATCTGCATATCTGAGGTTATTGATATTTCTTCCCGCAATCTTGATTCCAGCTTGTGCTTCATCCAACCCAGCATTTGCATCATATACTCTGCAAATAAGTTAAACACGTAGGGTGACAATATATAGTGGTATGTATATGTTAATACCCAAATTATGGAGTCATTTTTAATTGACTCATTTTATGTTGCTGTCATTAATTCTCCCAAATTCTCAACAGAACTGGAAAACCCTCCAGTGCCAGGTTTCCTATCATCAAAGGCAACAATGTGTAATCTCAGTCCTATTTGTTTGGTTTATTCCTGCTCTCTTAGTGTCCTAAGGCTGCTGTAACAAGTTGCCACTGGCTTAAAACAACAAAAATTTATTCTTTCCCAGTGTGGGGACCAGAAGTTCAAAGTCAGGCTTTGGCAGGGCCAATTCCTTCTAAGGTCTCCGAGGGACAATATGCTCCATGCCTTTGCCCCAGTTTCTGGCCATCCTTGGTCTTCTTTGCCTGGTAGGAGCTTCACTCCAATTTCTGCCTCCATCTCTACGTGGTCTTCTTCCCTCTGTGTCTCCTCTCTTTGTGTGGGTCTCGATGCCTTCTTAAAAAAATAACAGTCATATTGGATTAAGGCCCCTATAAATGACCTCATCTTAACTAATGACACCTTAAAAGACCTTGTTTCCAGGAAAGGGAAAGGTCACACCTAAGGTTCTAAGGATATGAACCTTTGGGGTGGGGGTGGGGGGTATGCCATTTAACATAATCTACTCACCCATGTTCTTCCTAAAGGAGCTTTCTGCCCTCTTGCTCTGCCCTCTGGTCGTTCTCTAGACTCACTCACTCCCTTAACCTTCACACTGAGTTTTTCTTCATTTCCTCCACAAATCCTATACCTTGACTACCTATCTTTGCTTTACTGTTTGGTTGTGTTGGAGATCATCCTCTAGTATCTGTCTAACAGTGCAAGGAAGGTGCATTCTTTTGCACTCCATATCTAAACATATCTTTTTTATTTGAAGTATATTTATTTATTTGGCTGCACCAGGTCTTAGCTGTGGCATGTGGGATCCAGTTCCCTGACCAGGGATCGAAGCCTGGCCCCCTGCATTGGGAGTGAGAGTCTTAGTGCCTGGACCACCAGGCTTTCACACCTAATTTATAGTTTTCCTGGGCATAGAAATTAGGTTGAAAATTGTTTCCCCTGAATTTTGAAGCTCTTCTATTTTGGCATCTGGCATTACGGGACTTGCCATGTCATCCTGTTCCCCAAGCTTTTCCTCACCTCTCTGTATAAGCTGCAGAATCTTCTCTCTGTCCCCTGTGATTTTTTTTTTTCTTACTTTTTGGCTGTGCCATGCAGCATGTGGGATCTTAGTTCCTCAACCAGGAATGGAACCTATACCCCCTGCAGTGTAAGTGCAGCGTCTTTTTTTTAAACCCTTGCCTGAGATTGACATGAACACACCGCTTTATTTATTTGTCTTTGGCTGTGCTGGGTCTTCGCTGCACACAGGCTTTCTCTAGTCGTGGAGAACGGGCTCCGCTCTAGTTGCCATCCGCAGGCTTCTCATTGTGGCGGCGTCTCTTGTTTTGGAGCACAGGTTCTAGGCACACGAGCTTCAGTAGTTTCATTAGTTCTAGGCTTGAGGGCCCTCGAGCGTGCAGACTTCAGTGGTTGTGGCTCTTGGGGTCTAGAGCGCGGGCTCCGTTTGCAGCTCTCAGGCTTAGTTGCTCCTCAGCAGGTGGAATCCTTCTGGACCAGGGATCAAACCCAGGGCCCCTGCACTGGCAGGCGGATTCTTAGCCACTGCACCACCAGGAGAGTCCGGAAGCATGGAGCCTTAATCGCTGGACTGTCAGGGAAGCCCCTGCCCCTTGCGCTTAGAAATGTCGTAGGCCTGTGCCCCCATCCTTTTTGCTGGTCAGCGGCGGTCCTTTCATCTGGAGACTCACATCTGTCATTTCTTGGACAGTCTTCTTACACTGTCCCTTTGATCTTTTTTTTCCCCTCTGGTTTTTATCCTCGCTTTCTGAAACTTTTAATCAGATGGTTCACATCCTGGAATTGACTTCTAATTTTCTCCTTTCTTTCCTCCTATTAATACTTTTCGTTCCACACTTTGTGTTCTGCGCAGTTCTTGGTCTTTATCTTCCAGACAATCTATGGACTTTTTTAAGTCTTGATCATCATACATTTAGCTTCCAAGCCGTCTTCCTTGTCCTCTGAATGCTGCGTTTTCAACATCCTGTTTGTGTCTTGTGGAGGTAATCTTCCCTCTAATCTCTCTGATGATATTCCTTAGAATTGTTTTGTTCAAGTTCCTCCTACAGCCTGTACGGTCTATTTCCTCTGAGTTCCTTTTCTCTGCTTGTTTTGGTCTTTGTCTTTTATGTAATCAGCCTTCCTCAGAAGTTGGTGACCTTGACCATTCATAATTAAGAGTGAGTCACTTCAGTGTTGACTGAAGGCTGTCTCTCTGTGTGTGTGTGTCTGTGTGGGGTAGTGGTGGTGCTCGCGGGTTGGGTCACATCTCTCGAGGGAGACTGGGCTGGAAATGGCCACTGTGTTGGGGTCCTCAGCATGGCTATTACAGGCCCTTTTACTAAGGCCGTTTGCTTCCACCAGGGAGGAATCCTTTCATCTCCTGCCTGGGGTGGAGGTTGGAGGGCTGGAGCAGCGTGGAATCCTGGCTGCTGGAGGTCTGAAAACTGAGCAGCCTGGGGGTGGGGCTCTTCTCAGTTAGGGGATAGATAGGCATGTCCATTAGAAATAGAATCTGAGTTATGTTTTATATAACTTAAAATTTTCTAGTAACCACAATAAAAAGAAACTAGTTTCACTAATTAGTGAAGTTCAATAGTATATGTTATGTAACCCAATGTAACCAAAATATCAACCTTTTAATGTATAATTTAAAAAATTGTTAATAATGTATTTTACGCTCTTTTATTCATGCCAGATCTTCCAAATCTGCTGTCTTGTGCTTTCCGCACATCTCATCTGAGAGCAGCCATGTAGCAAGGGCTCCGAAGCCACACGTGGTGGGAGACGGCAGAACTGGGCAGCTCAGGCATAGCCCAGCTCAGCTGAGAACCCCTCCCACCCTCTGCGGGGCCAGAGCCCCAGTCCTTGGCTCAGTTGCCCCCAAGAATTCATTTCTGTCAGAGATGAACCACTGACTATTTGGCTGTGGGAGGGTGGTTCTGACCACCTGGAGTGGTTACCTGCTTCCTGTCCAGACTTCCAAACCATCCTGCTGCCCACCCCCAGGCGCAGAACGAGCGCCTTCTCAGTGGCGCCCCATGCAGCGCTCACGCTTCAGCCTTCTCTGCTCTGGGACATCAGTCAGTTACTGCTCCGCTGCCAGCTGCCAGCTTCCTAAGAATGTCGACATCTCTCATCTACTGTACCCTCCTTTTCCATTCTTTGGGCTTATAGGCTTGTGGCATTTTAATCTTTTACTATCATTTTGAAGGGGTTTAAGTGAGAAACAGATAAATGTGTAACTTCAACTTAACATGTTCAGCTAGAAGTCAGGAAATGTTCTTGTATTTTGTCTTTAAAATTCTTGTGCATTACAAGTCTCTAGTCTAAAATCTATTTTTGTTTAAATGATGCCGATAGGTTATATTACCAGCCAAATGGCTAAAGTTCTTACATCAATATTTGAATAGAACTGATTGCTCTCCTGTGGTCTTGTATCCCCTCCCCAAATATCCCAGTCTGATAGAGGGGCTCCACCAGAGGCCTCCACAAGCTCCTGGTCGCCTCCCTTCCCCCCTGAGCAGTCCTTCAGTCTGGCCCAAGCTTCCAGGAGACCCCTGCCTCCAAGTGGCCTTCAGGATCTATTTGATCCTGCGTCAGTTCCCAAGGATTCCTTGGCATCCTTGAAGCATGAAGTTGCACATTTACACAGGATGGCTAGGGGGTTTCCATGGCAACTAGACCTCAGCATCTGCTTACTGTCTGGCCTAGAGTCACTGATTGTCCTGTTTCTCATAAGGGTGTGGAAAATTGAGTCATCTACCTTCTGTTCCCCCTTGCCCCCTTATTTTTAACCCTCAGGTTCCCCAGCCATCTTTGTTGCTTCGTGGGCTGTCACCAGGCACTTTCTGGAAGATGTTGGGTAAGCTGTTGGATGGAGAGGTAACAAGAGTATATTTTAGATTGTCCAGTTCTTTCAATAGGATGGACCCCCCTCTGAAGCTGTTATCTAGGAGAGGCCTATGTCTCAGACCTGGAGCCATAGGCGGGTTCTCTGCAGTGCAGGCTGCTGAGTGCCCAGCCCTCCTGGATGTGTTTGCAGACGTGCTGAGCCACCTCCTGCTGCCCGATCAGCTCTGTGCTTGGGTCAGGTGCCTGATGAGAGCTGTGCTGCTCAGGGAGAAAGCTCTAAGGGCCAACCTAGCTTTTCTCTTCCTGGCAGCTCCCTCCTCCACTCCTCCTGACATGGGATGTTTGAGTCCTGCAGACTCAGGAGAGCAGGAGGGTAGAAGCAGCCTTCAAATCCCTGATGGGTGCAAAGAGATCTAGTCTCATTCTCTAAAGATTTGGGCTTAGGGACGGGGTGAGCCTGGGGGCTACCGCGACTGGGCTCGTGGAAGGAAAGCTTGAAAGAAGCTGGGGAGGTGGTGAGGCAGCATGGCCACGTGGGAGGCCGTGTTTCATCCATGGAATGACACAGCCAGGCCATGGCGGACGAGGTGTAGAAGTGTCTTGCAGTCCAAATTCAATCTAAAATAATGCTTTTAATTGAATTAATTCCCTCTTTTAAAAAAATCTGGATTTTTAATTTCTCTAGAACAAATGGAAAGTTCTGTCCACATTCCCTAGGTCCCTTGTGGCAAAAATGAGCTGGACAGAGCTGTGGCCACCTTAGACCAAGCGCAGTCTGTCCATTTGCCAAGTCCCCCACACCCCCAGCCCTGCGCCTGATGTCCCCAGGGCTGAGGTCATGACCCTCACCCGACACTTCACTCCCTGACACTTCACCTGCCTGGCTGCTGCTGGCCACCACGCTCCCCAGTGATCTTGACCATGCACTTGGCTCTGGGGTCCAGAATCTTCCATCTCAGATCTGTGTGCTTTTGCTCCCTAGACACTCACTGGGCTTGCCTGGAGCCTGGAGGCTCCCCAGCCCTGGCAGTGCTCTTGGCAGCAGAAGACAGTCAGTCTTAAGGGTGTTAAGCCCACAGTCTCCAGGGGGTAGGACCACACCATAGTGCTTCCTGCAAAGGGCACCTCTGAGAACAGGTCTCTTCAGGTCAGCCCAGCTCCCCACTCCTAATGATGCCTGGCTGTCCCTCCCTAGGTGCTGGGACATCAATGCCAACGCGTCCATCTGGTGGGTCATCCGAGGGCCTGTGATCCTCTCCATCCTGGTAAGTGGCTAGCCCCCCTGATCTGGGCTCCCAGGGGAGAGACCAGAACAGTGACAGGCTTGCAGGGACAAGGGCCTTGGCAAGGCCAGCACTGCTGCCTCCAGGTGTGTGGAGGGATAAACCAGAGTGTCCAGAGGCTGGGCAGCAGCAGGAGGGTCTAGGAGCCCTGCCCCCAGAGACTGCCAGAGGGGAGGGGAGCGAGGCCAGAGCAAAAGCTTGCCTTGGCCTTGTCCACTGGAGCAGCTTCCGGGTTCCGAGCAGAGCTCCTTACCTGGAGTGGCTGGCTCAGGTCGCTTGGGATTCTGCCTCCACTGGCTCAGATGGTTGGATCTTGATCACTTTTCTAAACATTGTCTGGTTGAACTGGGCAGACTCACTGAGCCAGGATCGCGGAGCGGGTAGCACCTGGGGAAAGCCAGGGCTGCTGTGGTCTGGCCTCCGTGGTGATGTGCCGCGGGCGGGAGGGCAGGCCTGGAGGACTGGCTCTTAGACAGGGCAGCTCAGGGTGTCTCAACCTTTGCTCTCCTGTCAGCCTGGGAGCCTTTAAAAAATACCAATAGCAGAGGTTCAGGCTCTCCTTGTCCTGGGGAGGGGCCTGGGCACTCGGCTTGGTTTTCAGTTCCCAGGTGATTCTGCTCCGCAGTCCAGAGCCCCGTAGCTGAGCCTGCGGGTGTGGCTAAGGCAGACCCGTGGCGGGGCGCCCCGGGGCAGCCCTTTTCCTGAGTGATGTGCACAGTCTCAGAGGGCTGCCAAGACTGCAGACCCGGGTGCCAGGAAGCGCCCTTCCTAGGCTCCCGGGAGGGGCAGACGGGGCAGCAGCCGCCTCTCTACTAGCTGGCTGGCTTGCCTTGTGTGGCTGGTTGAGGGGGCCATCCCATAACCACTTTCCTTCTTTTTCTTTTCAAAAATAGTAGAATTTGGGACTTCCCTCGTGGTCCAGTGGTTAAGACTTGGTGCTCCAAACGCAGGGATCATGGGTTCAGTCCCTGGTCGAGGAACCTAATATCCTGCATGCTGCACATGGTGTGGCCAAAAAACACAAACAAACAGAGTAGAATTTACACCATCCTCCCTACTGTCTCAGCTCACAACAGGAGAGCTGGAAACTGTAGAGAAATCTGAGTAGCAGCCCTGACAGGCCGCTGAGTAGCCCAGGCGAGATGATGACTTCTCCCTGTTTCTGCTTCTCTCAGAGGGTGTGAAGGTCATTCATTAATCTGGAACCACTCAGGGCAGGAGTTAGGGTTAGAGACATATGTCGCGTATGGTTGTAATACACAGTTACCACCAGTACAGAGGGTGTCTAGTGCTTTAAACACAGCTTTATTTCTGCTGCCCTGGGACATTGCTACCCAAAGTCACTTTATGTTAATAAATAAATAATTTGATTGTAATTTTGACTTGGCCAACTTTAGCATAGTGTTTTCTAATCTGACTAAATTAAAATTTAAGGGATAGTGAGGGATATTAAGCTTTCATCTCCTACTACAGTCTTAATACACTGAAAACTGTATACTGAAATCTGCTATTATTTATCAAAAGTTGTTTTTTGCCAGCTTGCTACATTTAAATCATGTCTGAATATTTTTTATTAGCATGATAATATGGCAGAAAAATATTGATTATTCTATCACTAATTATGTTATATGAAGAATGTACTTGTTCTATGTTAAATCAAACATATTCTCACTTCTAAAATAATAGTAATAGAATTCATATAAAAATGGAAAAATACAAAATGTATTTTTAAAAAGGGAATAAAATCACCCATATTTGTAGCACCTAGATGGACATCATGATGCTGTGCTTTTCTGTCCTGTAATTTTCTTTGAGTGCATGTGCTTTTTCAAAATGCTTATTATAGTTTTGTGTCCTAGTTTGTTTTTACCCTTAGCAGTAGATGTAAGCTTTCCAATGTCACCTGAAATTATTTGATCAACTGCTGTGCTATCGCTGCTAAATACTGAGCCAGTTTCCTTGCTATAATTATGGGACTTTGACAGGCCAGCCCAGGAGAGTCCCAGGGCCCAGGCTGATTTCACAAAACCTTGGTCTCTCTAGTGATTGAGGATATTGATGGAGGAGGGGGCACTCCTGATGCCAAGTATCTCTCTCCCAGCCTGTCACGGGGCCCAGAATTCCACTATTTAAGATTCATTCTTGGGATAGTTAAATTTTTCCCTTTTGTTTTCAAGTGCTTCCTATTAAATACAACTCAAAGGCAAAAAATAAAAGAGCCTTTGTTAGTTTACACCGTGTACAGCTTAGAGCAAGATGCGCAAAGAGTGAGCTGAGAAGTGTCCTGACCAGGGGTGCTGAGCTGGGGTCCTAGACACGCCACTAATCCTGTGTCTTCTGGCAAGCGGCCCTAGGCCCCCAGGCTACTTGTCTGAACAATGAGGGTGCCTGCCTAGTCAGTTCCACTGATCCCTTCTTCTGCAAAATGATTCTGGAGCTGGTGGGTGAGGGGAGGAGAGAGGGTGCTACATGGGCAACCTTGTAGTGTGGCTGGCACTGGGCACTGGAGTGGGGGAAAGGACACCAAAAGAAACAGACTCTGGTCTCTGTCCTTTAGAAAGGCAGGATTGAATTGGCAGTTAATGGACACACACAGATGCTTGCACTTGGCCCCTTGCAAGTATTTCAAGTGCCCTTACAAGTAGCGTCATCCCTAACTACAGTAAGTCAGGAAAGGAGGCGATCAAGAAGGCTTCCTGGGGCTGCTAATTGAGCTGCTGAGTGGCTGAAGCAGTCGTTCTCAAAACATGGTCCCTAAACTGGCAACTTCCCCGGGGAGCTTGTTAAGAATGCAAATTCCCCTGTGGTCCTGTGGTTAGGACTCCGGGCCTTCACTGCCGAGGGCCTGATCCCAGGTGGGGGAACTAAGATTCTGCAAGCTGCAGCTAAAAGAAAGAAAGGAAGGAAGGAAGGAAAGGAAGGGAAGGAAGGAAAGGAAAGAAAGAAAAAGCAAATTAAATTATAACTTTTGGGGGCGGAGCCCAGCAACCTGCACCTTAAACTTTGAGATCCTCTGCTTGTAAAGCATTTGCTACTTGGGCGTAGTCCAAGGCCCAGCTTTGGCATTCATTCCCTGGAGCTTGCTAGAAATGCTGAATCTCAGGCCTGCATTTTAATAAGATTCCAAAACATTCCAATTGTGAGTAATCCACCCTGCAGCTGAGCAGACCTCAGGGCTCCTGCAGCCCAGGAGTAGGGGCTGAGCTGTGGTAGACAGCGTGTTTCTCCAGGACTGGGTGTGCTGGAGGGCGAGACCTGCATCCCTGCTGTGGTTGCCCTGCCTTCCCTGCCTGGGGCCTGGGCCAGGAGAGGTGGCCCGAAAGCAGATCATCTTTAGCCTGACCTCTGTCTTGTGTCTTACAGATTAATTTCATCCTTTTTATAAACATTCTAAGAATCCTGATGAGAAAACTTAGAACTCAAGAAACAAGAGGAAATGAAGTGAACCATTATAAGTAAGTGGAAGGCAAAGACGGGCACTCAGTCAGTCAGCAGGCATTTACGGAACACCTACTGTTTACCCAGCTGGTGCTCGGCACTTTAGAGGTAGAGGAGCAGGAAGAATTGGGACCTCATCCCAGGGAGTTTACAGCGGGGTGGAGGGAAGGAGGAGGGGGTCCTTTCCTCTCCATAGAACTGCCCTGGAGGTGGGGAGAAAAGAAATCGAAGCAGGACCCCTGTAGGCAGATATCTCACCCTTGGGACAAGGCTAGGGAGGCCGGGGCCCAAATTCAAGTTTTTATGGGGACAGTGGCCCTCCTTATCTGAGGGTTTTGCATCCAAGGATTCAACCAACCTTGGACTGCAGATTGCATATATTTGGGGAAAAAAATCCAAATCAAAACATTTTCATTGTATGAAGTACTGTAAGTAATCTAGAGATTATTTAAATATTTGGGGACATGTGCATAAGTTTAAGCAAATACCCCATTTCATATAAGCGACTTGAGCATCCAAGGATTTCTTTGTCTGCGGAGGGTCTGGAGCCAATCCCCATGGGTGCCAAGGGTTGATTGTATGCACACACTAGAAAATAATAAATACACACTAGAAAAATAAAAATACATACACACTATAAAAAATAAATACACACTAGAAAATAGTGTGTATTTTCTACCTTTCACTAGACCTTCATCAGATTGTCAAGATAATGTAATTCAAAAATACTTTAAAACCTTTAAGATGGTCAAGAAAGATGCTGTATTAGTCTGCTCAGGCTGCCATAGCAAGACACCACAGATTGGCTGACTTAAGTAAGAGAAACTTAATTCCTCACCATTCTGGAGGCGAGAAGCTGAGGAATAAGGTGTTGGCGGATTTGAATTCTCCTGAGGCCTCACCCCTTGGTTTGTATACAGCCGCTTTCTTGATGGGTCCTCACACGGCCTTTTTCCTATACATGTGCCACTCCCATATCTCTTCTTAAAAGGACACCACTTGATTAGACCACAGTCCCACCCTGATGGCCTCATTTAAACTTAATCACCTCTTCATAGTCCCTATCTGCTAATACACTCACATTCTGAGGTACTAGGGGTTACCTAGAGCTTCAACTTAAAATTTTTTGTTGTGGGGAGGGGGATACAGTTCAGCCCATGACAAATGTTAAAGACAAATCAGTGTCCACCAGAGGCTTTCTCTGTGATGTCCTGGGTTCTCAGAATCTGGCAGAGGCCTGGGTGACTTGGTGACAGATTTCCCCAGGGTATCTTTAGAGCAGTGGCTCCAAAGTAGGGTCATGCTGGGGATCCAGAATAAAGTTGCCAGATAAAATACAGGATGCCCAGTTTAATCCAAGTCTTGGATAAACAGCTAATAGTTTTTTTGGTACCTACACCAAAAAAAAAAAAAAAAACAAACCCACAACAAAACAACTATCTGTTGTTTATCTGAAATTCAAATTGAACTGGGCATCCTGTATTTTTGTTTGCTAAATTTGGCAACCTACCCTGGAAAGAAAACAAAAGAGCTTCTCCTTACAGATATTCATTATCCAACAAATGAGAATGGTGGCCTTGCTAATAATATGTCAGACAGTGTGGGGTATTTTAATAGTAACACATGCATATGCGTTATAGCATTATTCCTGTGGCTACGGGTTCAAAGCATTTTACTGATAGGGTTGCATAATCCAAGAGTTTGGAGAGTGGCCATGGACTGGTAAGTACTGAATCCAGGTACTGCGTATGCGGGAGCTGGAGATTTTCCAAAATGAAAGTAAACAAACCGGCAGTGGGGACACCAGCAGAGCCTCCGTAGTCAGGCAAGGTGGGGGTGCTTGTGGGCGTGGGCTTGCCTGAGACTGCGGTGCCTCTGTGTCCCCAGGCGTCTGGCCAAGTCCACCCTCCTGCTGATCCCCCTCTTCGGAATCCACTACATCATCTTCGCCTTCTCCCCTGAGGATGCCATGGAGGTCCAGCTGTTTTTTGAATTGGCCCTTGGCTCATTCCAGGTAAGCTGCAGGGATGGCGACTTTAAGGTGAAAGGAGGCATTCTCTCTCTCCTTAAACAGGCCAAAACCCAGATCTTCCCTAAGGCAGAGGAAGGCCTCATCTGGCAGAGACCCAGGAGAGGCAGGGGCAGGACCTCACTGTGCTGTGTGACCCTCTGTGGGTCCCAAGTTCCCCACCAGTCACGTATCACACGGGGGTGGGAGATGCAGCTCTGGAGAGAGACTGGCCCCGGGGGGACAGGAGGGAATGTGACCCTGGTGAGCCTAATCACACGGCTCTCAGTAGTTAGAGACAACGCAAGCTCTGAGGGCTAGAGCTGAGCCATCCAGGAGTGGAAGGGGCAAGAAGATGCGCAGAGCGGGAGAGGAGGGTGGGGCGGAAGGCTGTTCAGAAGAATACGCTCATCTGCGTACTGGGAAGTCCATAAAAACGCCCCAAGCTGAAAAATCCAGAAGTAACCACATCAGCATATTATGCAGAATCAGTCAGGAGAGTTCCAAGTCTGAGGAACAGGAAACGGGGGCAAGGAGGTCAGGAGGCTACTGTTTTTTTCTTTTCTTTCTTTTTGTTTTGGTGACGAGAGACATTTGACTCTTTGAAACAAATTACATACACAGTTTACTAAAAATAAAAACCAACTTTAAAAAAAGGAAAAAAAAGGGAGAGGAGAAACGACCTACCTACTAATTCAACTAGATGTTGTAGTTAAAAAATATAGTAAGCCTATTTGGCCAGAAGAGACTTTTAACATGAATCCCAAACTTCACAATGTTATTTGTTTATTTACTCATAACTATCTCCTTCCAAAAATAATATGATGTAGTTTTCAGGGAAAACATACAAAGGACAAAAAATAAGCAGATGAGGCATCTGTGAATAAAGAAAATAAAGCCAAAATTGAGTTCATACACAGAAACAAATTTGGTGAAGTTCTCTAAAGAGGGGAGAAGTGCGTCATAAACTTTGGTTTGGAGCTTCCCAGTAGCCAAAGCAAAGACAGAAGCACACTGTTTCAAGACTTAGATGCAAGCAGCCTGGTTCCCAGGGAAAGCCTAGGATCATAGTTTTGGGGCCTGAGAGAAATCTCTCCCAGTGGGTTTTCCTGAAGAAGCCAGCTTGTCATCAACACACAGACCATCCACAGAGACTTCCTCACCTGGGCAGGCCTTGGCCTCAGGGTGAGGCTGGGTGCCTCCCTCATTCCTGGAGTTCTATTTGGGACAGGGTGTGCCCAGAGTCATCTCCCACTGTCCTGCTCAGGTTCCAGGGAAGACATATCACTGGGAATGCATTCCTGAATGAGGTCTGGCCCTAACCCATGCCTGCAGACCCCACCCCAGGGCTGTCCCGGCTGCACTCTTCTGAGCCTCCTCTCTGCCCAGAGACTCTAGCCGGCACCCCAGATCCCTGGGGTGTATAATCCATGAGCTTTTTCTCTGGATCAGGAAGCTTCCACATAACATGGGGGAAGGTTGGGCTCACCATGGCCTTTTTTATCAGGTGGGCAGGGCTGTCCACAGATGGGTGGAAGGTCTTGACCCAGCTGACAGAAGTGGGTAGTGACCCTGATGAGAACCTGGAGACCCAGGACTGCATAGATGGGGACTTCCTGTCTCTGGAACTAGGCTTGTGGCTAGGGTTGCAGACTACACCAATGGAATGCCATTCGGCTCCTCTCTGGGGACGTGTTTATTAAAACCAAAAGCACTTTCCTAAATGTTCCCATAGGAATGCTTTAGTTCAATTCAGTTCAGTCGCTCAGTCACGTCCAACTATTTGCGACCTATGGACTGCAGCATGCCAGGCTTCCCTGTCCATCACCAACTCTCAGAGCTTATTCAGACTCATGTCTATCGAGTCGGTGATGCCATCCAACCATCTCATCCTCTGTCATCCCTTCTCCTCCTGCTTCAACCTTTTCCAGCATCAGGGTCTTTTCCAGTGAGTCAGTTCGCAGCAGGTGGCCAATGTCTTAGAGTTTCAGCTTCATCATCAGTCCTTCCAATGAACACCCAGGACTGATTTCCTTTAGGATTGACTGGTTGAATCTCCTTGCAATCCAAGGGACTCTCAAGAGTCTTCTCCAACACCACAGTTCAAAAGCATCAATTCTTCGACGCTCAGCTTTCTTTATAGTCCAACTCTCACATCCATACATGACCACTGGAAAAACCATAACTTTGACTAGACGGACATTTGTTAGAAAAGTAATATTTCTGCTTTTTAATATGCTGTTTAGGTTGGTCATAGCTTTTTTTCCAAGGGGCAAATGTCTTTTAATTTCATGGCTACAGTCACCACCTGCAGTGATTTTGGATCCCCCCAAAATAAAGTCTGTCACTGTTTGCATTGTTTTCCCATTTATTTGCCATGAAGTGATGGGGCAGGATGCCATTATCTCAGTTTTCTGAATGTTGAGTTTTAAGCCAGCTTTTAAACTCTCCCTGTACGCAGGTCAGGAAGCAACAGTTAGAACTGGACATGGAACAACAGACTGGTTCCAAATAGGAAAAGGAGTATGTCAAGGCTGTATATTGTCACTCTGCTTATTTAACTTATATGCAGAGTACATCATGAGAAACGCTGGGCTGGAGGAAGCACAAGATGGAATCAAGATTGCCAGGAGAAATATCAATAACCTCAGATACACAGATGACACCACCCTTATGGCAGAAAGTGAAGAAGAACTAAAGAGCTTCTTGAAGAAAGTGAAAGAGGAGAGTGAAAAAGTTAGCTTAAAGCTCAACATTCAGAAAACTAAGATCATGGCATCCGGTCCCATCACTTCATGGCTAATAGATGGGGAGACAGTGGAAACAGTGGCTGACTTTATTTTTCTGGGCTCCAAAATCACTGCAGATGGTGACTGCAGTCATGAAATTAAAAGACGCTTACTCCTCGGAAGGAAAGTTATGACCAATCTAGACAGCATATTAAAAAGCAGAGACATTACTTTTCTAACAAAGGTCCATCTAGTCAAGGCTATGGTTTTTCCAGTAGTCATGTGTGGATGTGAAAGTTGGACTATAAAGAAAGCTGAATGCCGAAAAATGGATGCTTTTGAACTGTGGTGTTGGAGAAGACTCTTGAGAGTTCCTTGGATTGCAAGGAGATCCAACCAGTCCATCCTAAGAGATCAGTCCTGGGTGTTCATTGGAAGGACTGAAGTTGAAGCTGAAACTCCATTACTTTGGCCACCCGATGTGATGAGCTGACTCATTTGAAAAGACCCTGACGCTGGGAAAGATTGAAGGCAGGAGGAGAAGGGGACGACAGAGGATAAGATGGTTGGATGGCATCACCGACTCAATGGACATGGGTTTGGGTGGACTCTGGGAGTTGGTGATGAATAGGGAGGCCTGGCGTGCTACAGTTCATGGGGTTGCAAAGAGTCAGACACGACTGAGCAACTGAACTGAACTGACTGAAACTCTCCGCTTTCACTTTCATCAAGAGGCTGTTTAGTGCTTCGCTTTCTGCCAAAAGGGTGGTGTCATCTGCATATCTGAGGTTATTGATATTTTTTCTGGCAATCTTGATTCCAGCTTGTGCTTCATTCAGCCCATAGGAATGTTTACAAGGAAAATGAAAGATCTTTAAGGGTGTTTTTTTTTTTTTAAAAGAACCATTGTTCAAATACAAACATATATATCATTTTATTATATTTTATACATATATATAGTGATATAATAAATATTTTTAAAATTCTATATTATGGAAATTGTTTCCATATCCAAAATTCAAATGAGCAATATAATGAACCTGCATATAGCCCTTATCCTCTGTGACCTGTCCTATTTCACCTCCATCTATTCCCCATCTCTCATCATTTTACACAAACTCAAGTCATCATGTTATTTCAAATGTAAACATTTTAGTATATATTTTCTGAAAGACAAGAACATAAAGAAGGACACACGCGGAACCACAATACCATTATCACTGTCATATATTCCTGAAGGCTGAAGTTTATCAGGGGCTTCCCTGGTGGCTGACAGTAAAAAATCCGCCTGTAGTACAGTAGATCTGGGTTCATTCTCTGAGTTGGGAAGATCTCCTGGAGAAGGGAATGGCTGTGCACTCTAATAGTGTTGCCTGGAGAATCCCATGGATGGGGGAAACAGGCTACAGTCCACGGGGTTGCAGAGTCAGCTCCTCCTAATTTTAGAAATACTTGCTTACTGAGGAAAATTTGGAAGTAAGGAGAAGTTAAAATAGAAAGGCAAATCCATCCAAACTCTCATAACACAATGTAATAACCTCTGTTAAGATGATGTGTTTACTTCTAAGTCTCCTTTCTAGCCAAGAAGACACACACATGTACACACACTTACACACATGTAATTGAGATCATGATGTATGGTTTTTAACCCCCCTTGTTATATTTAATTCTCTATCATTCCACCATGAACATTTTTCCAGCTCACTAAAATTCTTCAGAGACTGCATTTTTAATGACTGTATAAAAACTGGTATTTCCTAAACTTGTTGGCTGTGGGAGGCCACCCCTCTACTTACCTGGGGCACATCTAACCCACTCTCACCCAGGGCTCCTGCCCTCACTTGAACAGAGAGACTGTGTCTCCACATCTCTGAGGCCGGGCAACCCCTGTCCAGTGAGGGGCAGCAGGCTGACCTCCAGCTCCAGGCCCACCAAAACTTGTGACTCAGGTCCCTCACCTGGAAGCAGGGATCCTCCCTGCTTACCTTCCAGAGCTCTGGCAAGGATTAAGTGAAGCACCTGGAACCCAGAAGCCACGATTACATAGGCTGAGCTGTGGCCAAAATCCAGCTCTGGATTATTGGAAAGCCTGCCCTTCCCTCTCTCTGACAGCAACTCCTAATCAATGATGCCCTTTTAAACCACCTAGCGATCTTTCAGAGCTGCTGCTGGTCCCACCCCAGACATTCGGATTCGGGGCACAGAGGGCACCTGGGCCAGAGCTCCCAAGCGATCCTCATGTGCGGCCAAACTTGGAAACTGCTGCCCTGAGCACCTGTTCCTGCCCCACCCCCATAGTCCCCGTTTTGTGTGACATCATCCACGTCTGAGACTCCAGAGCAGATCCTTCTAGTTTGTCTCTAAAACTCTTGTCAGAATGCTGGGATCCCAGAGCAGTTCCGTGTATGAAGGCCCCTGTAAACGGGCTGGTTCATCCCTCTTTGGCGTCCTGTCCATGTCTTAAGTAGCCAGGAGCAGGCCTGGTTGGCCCTGGGAGGAGGGGTTGGGCTACCTGCAGTCAGGGCTGTGGCACCCAAGCCTCTGTGGGGCAGGGTGCTCACCAGCCGAGGAGGCCTGAGGGCAGGGCCTGTTAGGAAGGGCAGGCTGGCCCTCGAGGGTCCTTAGGTGAGCCAGACATCCAGACTGCTGAACCCTGTTCAAAGCTCATGGTTCCATACAAGCCTTAGGCCTCAAATCCCGCATCTCAGCCTGGAGTCCCTGACTGGTGGGTTCCACGCCAGGATTCTGGGGATACCATTGGGAAAAGAGGAGTCCAGATGCTGGAGAGGGAGGGTCCTGATAGGCACGACACCCATCCCACCAGGGAACTTAAAAGCAAATGTGGCCCTGAGGCCTCTGACCTTGGAGATGTGAGTGGGGAGTCAGGCCCCCTATTCGTTGGCTGAGACCTGCACTTGAGCTCTGCTCAGACTTCAGTAACATTAAGCAGAAGCTTTTAACTCAGCTGCAGGGACCAGGCAGGTCACTGGAATTAATAAGGGAGGCCACCCGGGAGAAGCAGGGCTCGGTGGCCCCTGAGGCATGCACATCCCACCAGGAGCTGAGTGGGTGGAGCAGCCATGTGAACCCCTGGGCCTGGGTGGGCTTGTTTGCAGGACCAGCTGGAAATCTGGAGAGGTTTAAACAGGGACAGCTACTCAGATAGAAAGACGAATGTGTGACTGTGTGGTCAGAGCAGAGCTCTGGGCGGCATGGACTAGCCTCACGTGCCACCGTTCCCTGCTTCTCCGGGATGGCCCACCTTACTAATTCCCATGACCTGCCTGGTCACCGAGCTTGAGTTGGTAGCCTCTGTTTAATGTAACTGACACCACCCTGGTGCAGGACACCTCCCTGGACCTGGGGTCATTCTTGCCCCCAAGGGTCTCAGGCTGTGTGGGTGATGCCAGCACAGCTGTATGCACTGCAGGGCCAGAAAGGAAGCACCTATTCCCCCGGGGGAAGGACAGGCATGGGAAGGCTCTGGAATAGTCATGGGGAGAAGTGAGCCCTGGGGCTGGTGATGAAAGGACCCCGGGGACTAGGAGGCCGAATGCTGGAGTGCCTCACCGATCCCGTTGCCCCTGCTTCCTCCGCAGGGCCTGGTGGTGGCCATCCTCTACTGCTTCCTCAACGGGGAGGTGAGTGCTGGGGGCTGCTCTGCTGCCTGGGGAGCTCCTTTGTCATTGGATTGTGGTTCAGAAGGGCTACCTGGAAGGGGTGGAGGGGAGCGGGGTGTGGTGTGGGTGAGGGAGACCAGGGCCTCCTGGCTCAGATCTGTCTTCAGGAGTCTGAGCTCACTTAACGGGAGCAGCAGAATCACCCAGAGGCCTTGTTAAAACAACTGCTGGGTCCTCCCTTGTTTCTAAACAGGCAAAAATGCGTCCAGTAGCTCTGGGCTGGAGGCTGAGAATGTTTTAACAAGCACTCCAGGTGATTCTAGCCCTCAGGCAAATTCAGGAAATGGAAAGTGCAGGCACCCGGACCCTAACTGAGGCTGCTGACTGCTGGTTGCCTGATGAGTGACCTCGATCACTGCCCTGCTCTGGGCCTTGGGCTTCCCATCAGTAAAGAGTGACTCAGGTGAAATGTCTGCCCCTCCATCCTCAGAGACCTCCAAAGAGCGTGACTGCTGAGCAGGGTTGGGGGAGTTGCACGCTTAACTTTCAGTCTCTGCGCTTGCCCAGAGCATCTGGGTCAGGACAGGAGGCTCCTGGCACAGAGGCCATGCAGTTGAAGTTAGTTGAATACGGTACTGCATGCAAATAAACCCTTCCTGTAGCTGTCAATCATCTGGTTCACCCCACTTGAATGGGAGTGGCCTCTGATACTTTTCCAAAAGTCAAGCATCATACCTGGCCTCAAATGCTTTGCTGGTGCAGCTGGGGGTTGTGAAGGAAATTCCAAAGAGTAGCCCCCTGGTCCCTAGATGAGTTCTGAGCTAGAGTGGCTTCATGGGGACGTGTCCAATTGTCCCAGGTGACCGTCTGTGAAATGTTCACAGGCCCCTTCTTCAGGACAGGTTTGCTGAGGTTGCTGGTGAAAGGTCCCAAGGGAAAGGGGCCCCTCAGTACCTATGGATGTCAGGGCTGAAAATGGTAAATCTGAGTGAAGGGGAGGGCATGCCCTCTGGGCAGGAGTGGCAGAGCCTGTGCTGAGGCCCCAGGGGAAAAAGCAGGACCGGGCAAAGATCGCCCTTCCCTCCTGGCTGACTCCTGATCTCCGGGGGCAGGTGCAGCTGGAAGTTCAGAAGAAGTGGCGGCAGTGGCACCTGCGTGAGCTCCCATCGCGGCCCGTGGCCCCCAGCTCCTCTTTCAGCAGCGGCATCAAGGCCAGCCCCTCGGAGCAGAGTCGGGCCACCCGTAGGACCAGTGTCATCTGAGGCTGGCCAGCCCAGGTCCCGAGCCTGCCTTGCTGCCAGATGCTGTGTGGTCTCTCCAGTGACTATTACACCCCTCCTCCTGGCCTTGGGGTGGGGTTGTGGTGATGCTTCCTCAGAACTGATGGGGCTGGGACAGCAAGAGGGGCTGGGACAGCAAGAGGGCCTGGGACTCAGACCTGTTGAGTTTCCTAGAAAGAGTAGTTTAGGGGTCCCAGGAGAGGGCAGGGGAATAAATGGTAACTGGGATGAGACCTGGTATTTGTCGGTCTTCTTGTCCTTGAGGCACAAGGTGGAAGATGCTGACCCCTGCTACCTTCTGGAGAAGGGGGCTTCCCTGACCTCCCTGCTCCAGTTTTCAGGGATAAGCTTAGAAGCCCAGTGAACCAGAAGATAGTGAAGAATAATGAAGCCTGGCGTGCTGCAGTCCATGGGGTCACAAAGAATCAGACACGACTTAGCAACTGAAGAACAATAGCCAGTGAACCAGAGAAATTGCCCTTGGCCTTGGGTGGACCCTCCCCAGCCCTCATTGCAACTCATCCATCCAGCTCTTCCCCTGGAGCCTTCAAGACAACTCAATCAAGTTACAGGGAACCTTTTAATGACCCTAACATGGGATGGGGCACCTTGTTATTCCTGCTAAGTTATCTGTGGTAGTGGTGGTTTAGACACTAAGTCGTGTCCGACTCTTGCGACCCCGTGGACAGTAGCTTGCCAGGCTTTTGTCCATGGGATTCTCCAGGCAAGAATACTGAAGTGGGTTGCCATTTCCTTCTCAAGGATCTTCCTGATCCAGGGATCGAACCCGGGTCTCCTGCATTGCAGGCAGATTCTTTACCGACTGAGCTACGGGGGAAGCCCTCAGTTACGTGTAGTACTACAGAAAGTGGGGCAGAATCCATTTGACAGAAGAGATACTGGTTCACCAAGGTCCTGTCACTTGACCAAGATACCCAGCTGGAAGTGGCAGCTCAGTGCAGGACTTTTGATTTTAAACCCCCAGGCTCGCTCCAAGGCTGTCTGTCTCCCCTGCTCGCAGGCCGGGATGAATGGGGGCCTGTCTCCCTGTCCCACTGGGGATTTTCATCTTATCCTTAACTGTCTGGATCTCAGTTCCCGCATTCTTCCCTGCTGGCCATGTGAAGATTAAAGGACTAAATATTTGAACCTTTTAACCAAACACTGCCTACGTGCTCAAGGAAAGCATTCTGGACAGGAGCAGAGACAACCCCGCCCCCCAGAGTGGAGGGAAGGGCATCTTGCTGGTGGGTGGGCCCAGCTCTAGTCCTGGCTTTGGGTGAACTGGACAAGTGGCCCTGCCCCCAACTTCTGCATCTCACCCCTGCAGACAAGGAGGTCACCCTCTCTCACCTCATAGACTGCCCCTGGGGTGAAAAGGCCAGCTTGCCCATTTTCCAAGGCTAAGACTACAGCCTGTATGGTTGATATAACTTTCTCCAGAGACCCCCATGAACTCTGTGCATCTTCGAATCAAGAACAGTTAAAAAAAAAAAAATCACCAGGTATAGGCACCCAGAAAGAGGATCTGGCAGGGCAGAAACCTAAACCTCATGAGGCCAGAATGAACCAGGGAAGGCCTGAGTTCATCAGGTCAGGGAGTGACACGGCGCTAGTATTGAATGAAATAGGCTGAGGGTGGAAAAAAACCCCACCTACTGGGCAGAAAAGGGACTGGAAAGGGGGCAATTTAATGCACAAAAATATAAAGTGGCCGGCAAGGGTGGAAATCTCCATTGGTTCCTGTCTCCTTCACCTGCAGGCCTCTGTATCTAGGCTGGTTGTTAATCATTATTCAAGGTTTGGCCAGTTCCCTGTACCCCGTGGAGTCCAGATACGTGCTCTATGGAGTGTGTTCTAGGATCAAAAATGGTACCCTGAGGCTATCTGGCCCTGACCAAAGATGGACGCACACGCTATGTCAGAGATCCATTCATCCCATGCTCAGTTGTGTCCAACTCTTTGCAACACCATGGACTGTAGCCCGCCAGGCTCCTCTGTCCGTGAGGATTTTCCAGGCAAGAATACCAGGAGCGGTTTACCATTTCCTCCTCCAGGGGATTTTCCCGACCCAGAAATCTCCTGAGGCAGAAGTCTCCTGCCTTGGTAGGTGGATTTTTTACCCCGCTTGAGCCATCCGGGAAGTCCCTACATCAAGAGGACAATATTATAAGTCAGGCAGCTCTCCTGGAAGGGCTTCAGGCAGTACTCACGAGGAGAGTCCTCAGAGGGACAGCCAGCTGCTGGAAGCAGGGGTTATCCTGGGGAGGTACCCCCAAAGGGCAGGGTTCAAATAAAGTCAAATGGTTTGAAAGCCATATGCAAGCAATCCTGAACTCTGCTTCCCTGGCGTGACCAAAGGGAAAATGCAAAGGCCCTTTGAGCTGGTGGAAGAAAGTCTTAGGCACTAACTGGACATCCTTTGCTGGAAGGATGATTCACTCTTAGTCTCCAAGGAGGCCCAGGGACCCTACAGCCCACATTCCAGCAGGGTCAATAAAACAGGTGTCAACTGTGCTTCCTGTGCAGCCGGCCTGGGCACCAGTGACCCGAGCTGCTTCCAGGTCTGTTCCCATCCCAGGAAGCGTTCAAGTAAAGGTTTTAAAATATGTTTATTCTTGTAAAATCAACATCCTATATAACACGGCTGTGGGTAAACTGGTGCAGCTGGTGGCATGGAGGCTCCCACCTGACCTCTGGGCTGCAGACCAGCTGCACAGACCCCTGGGCCGCTGGCCCAAACACACCAAGGCCATGAGGCATCAATTTGAACGTCACATATTGGAATTAGAAAAGTCTCATCTTTTCCACCCGTCACACTGCACGGCATGTGGGACTCAGTTCCCCAGCCAGGGATCTAACCCGTGTCCCCTGCATTGGAAGCCCAGAGAGTCTTAACCACTGGACCACCAGGGAAGTCTGGAAAAGTCCCATCATAGCCAGGCTTTCCGGTAGAACTTCATGTCCTTGGAGGAGGGTCCTAAACTTTTGTAGGCAGGCTCCAGGGATGCATGTTGTTGTGGGTGATGCTGTTGATGTGCAGGCCACTGATAGCATTCAGGAAGAGAAGGAAGGAGGCTGTGAAGTCGCTCCAGAACATCAGGGTGAGGCCCCAGAGTGTGACCTGGCTCCTGAGAAGGACCAGGAAGCTCAGGAGGCCCCCGAAGGAGAGGATGAATGAGATGAGTAGGAGGGTGGAGCCCACAGCCCACTTCCGCCAAGCGAGGGAGTCCTCGCACACCTGGGACACTATGAGAAACTCCAGGCCAAAGATGGCGACCACCACGGCCAAGCTGGCCACGATGCGGGCCACGACCATGCCCGAGGCCAGCCAGGGCACCTGGGCCTGACTCAGGTCTCGGAGGCAGTGCAGCTCCGTCTGGTTGGAGGCAGTGCAGAAGCGCCACAGTCCGAAGAGGCGGTCACCCGCCAGGAGCCATTGGCCATCGCAGATGGAGATGGAGGAGAGGACCACAGCCAGAGAGGCACACAGGATGATGAGGCCTCGGGTGAAGGACTCAAAGAAGGACCGGGGGGGCCTCCTTTGGCCCAGCAGCCTCTGTGCCTGGAAGACAGCATGGGGCAGCATGTCAGGGAGGGCCCCCCGCCACACCTGGCCTGCCTCTTCAGGGAGGACCCACAACATGCGGTTCAGCTTCCCACTGCCACTGGAACCCTTCTCCCATCCTGCTTGTTCCTGGCCCATCCTCCACTCAAGACCTATAAGCATTGTCTGTGGATCCAGTTATTTATCAGGCAAAGAGTTCCCTGCCCTTTCTTTAATGATCTTATAATGAATAAAAAACCCAAATTCCATTTGCCTGTCTATACTCTTTAGCCCATTCTGAAGTCAGAAAACCTGTTTGACCTGGCTGTTGTGACCTTGAGCCAGCAGGCAGCTTTGGTTTCTTTATATGCAAAACAAGAACACTACATAGAGTTATTATTAGCACATCAGTGAGGGTTTCCTCCCCTGGCTCTGGGTCTCTCCCAGTTTCATCCTCATCTGTACCTTCTGAACTTGCCAGGACCCAGGTGCTCAGTGATTTTGCACTTTACCCTTCAGTCTGGCTTAGCCTGTACCCCACCCAGAATAGGCCACCACTAGGTGTTCCAGCAGCTTCTGGGGTTGGAGGGGGAGTCCCTGAGGTGCCCCTTTGGTCTCTGGTTTCTGGAAAAGTGCACTGTCCTCTCTCCCAGAAACCTCGGCCAAGCGTCCAGTGAGGTGTCTCTTGTTACAACCTTGGGGCACCCTCCAGCCACGGTCCCCCGACCCAGAAGCAAAAGGAATGCTTCAAAGAGTAGAAGCCCTCCCAGAGCACCCTCCCGGCCACCCTGCTCAGCCACATGGTCCTTTCTTCCTCACCTATTGGCTCCTCTACTTGAAAGACTCTTCTGGCTGCCCCTCTTTCTCCATTCTTCATGTCTCGACTGAAACACTGCCTCCGTACCCACCCAACCCAGAAGGGACTGCCTCTGGCCACTCTCAGAGGAACTGTCCTGACAAGTTACCTATATCTGTCCGAACAGTGGTGAATGTTATTGTCTGTCTCACTCGGAGACTGAGGTCTCCAGGAGGCCAGGGCCTTTCCCTAGCACCTGGCACCGTGCTCAAGAGCCACGAGATAATGAACGTCAAGCTTGCAAGCACTGCCACTTTCACCTGAAGCTACCTTTAAACCATCTCCTGCCCAGTCCTAGATTATGCCCTTTACAGTGAGTGTGGAAGCAGCCCAGGTTACACCTTGGTTTGGGAGGTAAGCAAAGCAGAAAACTCAAGCGTGATGATCACTGCTAGGGAAACCAACCAAAAGGGGACTCTAGGGTCAGCCCTACCCACGTGCAAACGGAGGCTTCCAGAGGCAGGCCTGGGCCACCCCCTCAGTGAGGGGCAGAAAACAGGGCCACGCTCCTGGGAGACCCTGTGGTCAGAGCCCCAGCAGGAACATCAGGCTGCCTGCTAACCTGCTCACTTTAGCAGCCCCAGGGATACAGGAAAGAATCTTGTTTGCTTGCAGCACTTCTGCCTAAGTTAGGATCCCATTTCACCCTTAAACCCGAGTCTGGACTTCCCTGATGGTACAGTGGATAAGAATCTGCTTGCCAATGCAGGGGACAAGCATTCAATCCCCAGTCTTGGACGATTCCACGTGCCAGAAGAACTAAGCCTGAGTGTCACAATTACTGCAGTGAAGCCTAGAACCCATGCTCCACAATGAGAAGTTACTGCAATAAGATGCCTGGGCACCGCAATAAAGACTAGCCTCTAGGCTAGCCACCACTTTAAAAAAAAGAAGAAAAAAGCTGCTTTTTCATTAAAAAAAAAAAGAAGAAGAAGAACAAGCTAGTCTGGTGGAGTAGGAAACTTCATGGGGGTATGCAAGGACGGCAACTGTCAGAGGCCAAGGGACCTACCCAAGAGCATTTACATCACAGTAAAGCTGGCACAGCGGGGGGTAGGGGTGGGGATGCATGCTGCCAATAAATACTGACTTGGGCCATCACGTGAGGGGCTCAGTATGGTGGTGAGGAACAGGAGTGGAGGGGACTGAGGGACCCCCAAGGACACTGATGCAGATCCAGACACAAAGGCAGCCTGGTGCACAGTAAAGAGCATTCAGGCGGGAGTCTAGGCTGTGGTTCTCAAACCGTGTCCCCTTGTCTCCTAGCAGGGGGAGGGACCCCCTCACTTCAACCCATCAGATCCCTCTTTCCTGCCAGAGCCAATGGGAATCTGAGTCTGTACTGAATTTCAATAGGAAAAACAGCTCTACCGCTAAGAAACCAAGGGAGCTTTGAAACCTCTGATTACAAACCATAAAGGTGTTTGTCTTTGCCACTAGGTCTCTTAACCCCCTTGACTCTTGTTTCTCATCTACATTCTGTAGGAGTTAGTGACCCCTGCAGGAAAGCACAGCCATGAAGGCACCTCGCGAGGTTATAATACCCCTAGAGGTTGTTAAGTTTCTAGTATGGGAAAACCTCAGACGCAGGCAACAAGTCACAAGAATACAGCACCCAGAGGCCTTTTGACCTTGGACATCACGCTGTCTAGAGAAAAAGCACATGCCGTCCTGCACTCAGCCCCACCTGTCCTGGGCACAAACTGGACTTTAATCTCCAGGCCCTCAGACATTCAGAAAGACAGCTGACATCAGGTCATTTTCCCCCTCCCATCCCAAAGTAGGGCATCATTCAAACTCTGACACCAATAAAACTCCCAAGGATTAAATGAGATTATGTATATAAAGATGCTTGGAACATGAGCAGTCCTGATTTACCACAGCTAGTCCTAACATCAGGAACAATAAGGTATCTTGAGTCCTCATTCCTCACCACTGCCCCCGACACCTGAGCTTTGAGCCATCCAAGAAATCCTCTCCTGGAGGGCAGTTGAGCCTCAGCATGGTCAGTGGAAGGTTTGTGGACCACCCAGGATGAGGGCAGTTGAGCCCTGTTCCTGATACTGCCCAGCCCAACTCTGTGACCTTGGGCAAGTCACTTTAGTCTCTTAGGGCCTGGACTTTCTCCACTAAAAAAAAAAAAAAAGAAAATGGAAGACGCATTTCCCTTTTCATCCAGCTCCCTGAATGATTTCTAGTGACCTGTAGAACAGTGTCACTTGACACTCCTGGGCCATTGAGTCCACTGCCAAGATCCTGTCTTCCTCTACAACCCAGGACCCCATCTGATTCCATCAACCCCTAATTAGACACTCTGGGCTGCTCACTGCTCATTCTCCACATCACCTCTCCCTCCTTATTTGCCCCAACCCCCCGCTGCCCACTCAGCCCAAGCCAAGGTCAGGCCCTTCTCATCAGCTGGAAATCCCGTCTGTGCTCAGCTGCTGAGTCGTGTCCCACTCTTTGGGACCTCAGATTGTAGCCAGGCTCCTCTGTCCCCGTGATTCCCCAGGCAAGAGTACTGGAATGGGTTGCCATTTCCTCCTCTGGAGGAGCTTCCTCCACCCGGGGATCAACCTGGTTCTCTGGCATTGGCAGGCGGATATATATATATTTTTTTTAACCACTGAGCCACCCAGAAAATCCCTTCTACAGCTTCCTAAACAGTAAGCCCACTCACGCCAGCATGACCCCAGGACACTGGGCAGAGAGCTACAGGAGCCATTCTGCTTGGTTTTTAGCTCTTAGACCTCTGACAAGTTATTTATCCCCTGGAGATAACTAGTTCTGCCTCCTGCCCTCGTGGTGGAGCTGAACCGAGTTCTGAACACCCCAGCTGCGTAGAACAGTCCCAGGCCTGCGGTTAAGTGCTCCTAAGCTACAGCGACTATCTTCAAGCACAGCCCGCGCCCCCCACCCCCGCCGCCGCCAGTAGGGCTCCAGGGTTTTAACCTCATCTTTTCCGCCCACCCCCCCGCCCCCAACCCCCTTCTCCTTCCTTCGCTAAAACTCAAAAGTCTTTCAACCTGGCTACTCCAGTCTTCCTGCCCCTCCCAGCCGGGTAAGAAGCCCTCCTCCACCCCTTAATTCCGTCGCAGTTTCTAATCCAGCACCCACTTCCCCCGACCGCATCTAAATCCTGTTTGCAAGTCTCTCCCCAGCTGGGCCGCCGGCTCTCCGAGGCGGGACCACACCCGATCCCACCCTCCACGCAGAAGGTCCGGAGGCAGCCCGATCGGGACTTCAGATTATGCCCAGAACGGTAGGGAGTAACTCGCAGCATCCCGCTCTCGGGCTGCAGAATCCCGGCCGCAGGAGGTTTGCGGGCGGCTCGTGGGTGGAGTTTCTCCTGTTCGGGCCAAGTCTGGCTCACACTCGATTCTGGGGCTGAGCTGGCCGCCACTCGCAGGTCACTTCACCTGAGCCTCAGCCTCCGCATCTGTAAACTGGGCGGAGCTCTGGGGTCAGTGCTGTGGCGCTCTGAACGCTCGCTGGCTGAGTCTGCGGGCCTCTGACCGTCAGGACCATCAGGTCGGGAGACTAGCCGGCGGCACGCGTCCGCTATGGAAGCTCGGCTGCCGGGTAGGAGAATTGCACGCCCGAGGGGCGGAGGGAGACGGCCAAGCTGTCCAGCAAACGCCTCGCATCACTGAGAAACCTCATGTCTGCAATGCCAGCCCCTCACCTCACTACAGTCTGTTCCCAGGTTTCCGCGCGTCCCAGAGACTCCACCTCCGTCCTCGGCTCCCCAGAAGTCAGTTTTGCGAAGGAGAGATGGTATTTCTGGCCCCGGCTCAGGAAAGTTCTGGCTTCCCCAGACATACCTCCTGCTCTGAGGAGCGAACCTCACTCTACAAGTGGATTCCGTCCATCCTCCGCCCCAGAAGCGCCCCCCTTTTAAGAGGGACCCTTCTGTTGAACCTAACCAATGGAAACAGAAGACCCCAAAGACAACCGCCCGACCCCGAGACTTTTGGGAGCCTAGGGTGCGCGAAGGACCAGAGCGACAAGACCGACAGCGCTGGGGTGGAAGAGTGGCCCCAGGTGGCTTCCTGCCTGCCCCCCGGACCCCGGCAGGGCACTCCTACCGCTCTCGTCGCGGCCGCTCGCTCACCTGGACGCCGAGGGCTGTCATCGTGCACCCGGGCTCTTCGCGAACTCCCGCCAGCTGCCTCCACGATCCCGAGCGCAGATCTGCTGAGGCAGACCGTTGCTGCTTGGGAAATCTCTCCTCAGGGGCCGGGGCGGGGCCGGGGGCGGGGCCGGGGGCGGGGCCGGCAGGGTGGGTCGGAGGGCGGGGCTGGCGAAGGGAGCGGAGGGGAGGGAGGCGTGGGGAGGGGCGCTGGGCATCAGCAAACTTGGTGCTGCTGGCCGGGCTGCTGGCGGGGCTGCTGGCGGGGCTGTTCCCCTCCCGGGGCCGCTGGGTGGACGCTGAATCACTGGGGCCGTGGGAAGGAGCCACCGGTGGGGGGTGGGGGTGGGGTAGGCCAGGACACGGCCAAGAAGTGTAGACTCGGGCGGCAGACTCGCGAAGTCCAGGCCTGGAGTCATTCCCTCGCTCTGAGGACTGCTGTGCGCGCGACACCGATTCCCCAACGGCAGGACCGCGCAGGCGGAAGGCCAGCGACCCCGGACCCGATTCCGCCCCAGCGGGTCCAACCGAGCGTCAGGAGAGGCAGAGGCGTCTCCAGCACCCTGTACCGGGCTCTTGTTTTTCTCTCGTGTTGTTCAGTCGCTAAGTCGTATTTGATTCTTTGTACGGACTGCAGCACGGCAGGCTTCCCTGTCCATCCCCACCTCCCAGAGTTTTCTCAAACTCATGTCCATTGAGTGGATAACGCCATCCAACCACCTCATCGTCTGTCGCCGCCTCCTTCTGCCTTCAATCTTTCTTAGCATCAGGATCTTTTCCAGTGAGTCGGCTTTTCTCATCAGATGGTCAAAGCATTGGAGCGTCCTCGTCAGTCCTTCTAATGAATATTTAGGGTTGATTTCCTTCAAGATTTGGGCTTCCCTGGTGGCTCAGACGGTAAAGCGTCTGCCTACAATGCAGGAGACCTGGGTTCGATCCCTGGGCCGGGAAGATCCACTGGAGAAGAAAATAGCAACCCACTCAAGTATTCTTCACTGGAAAATCCCATGGACAGAGTAGCCTGGTGGGATATGGTCCATGGGGTCACAAAGAGTTGGACAGGACTGAACGACTTCACTTTCACTTTTCTTTCCTTTAGGATTGACTGGTTTGATTTCTTTGCTGTCCAAGAAACTCTCAAGAGTTTTCTCCAGCACCACTATCTGAAAGCATCAATTCTTCGGCACTCAGCCTTCTTTACGGTCCAACTCTCACACCTGAACGTGACTACTGGAAAAACCATAGCTTTGACAACACAGACTGTTGTTGGTAAAATGTTGTCTCTGCTTTTTAATATGCTGTCTAGGTTTTTCATAGCTTTTCTTCCAAGGAGCAAGCATCTCTGAGCCATGGTTAATAAATGAGATAATATTCATGAAAGATCAGAGTCTTGCCAGGCCCTCAGTTAAGTGTGAAAATAGTGGAATCTTCAGGGCAGTCTTTCCTGTGTCACTTTTCTCTCCCCCAAAGGGGGATGTACAACCCTAACACCCCCTCCCTCCCAAAGGGAGAATGTACAACCCTGCCCGCCTCCTTGCCACCTCCTGCGTGCATGCTAAGTTGCTTTAGTCATGTCCCACTCTTTGTGACCCTATGGACAGTAGCCCACCAGGCTCCTCTGTGCATGGGATTCTCCAGGCAAGAATACTGGAGTGGGTTGCCATGCCTTCCTCCAAGGGATCTTCCTGATCCTGGGATCGAACCTGCACTTCTTTTGTCTCCTGCATTGGCAGGTGGGTTCTTTACCACTAGCACCACCTGGGAAGTCACCTTGCTGCCTCAGGGACCATCAAAAAGGCAAGTGACAGGGATTTCCCTTGTGGTCCAGTGGTTAAGACTCTGCACTTCCATTGCAGTGGGCATGGATCCCTGATTGGGGAATTAAGATCCTGCATGCCAGGTGGTGGTCAAAAAAGTATTAAAAGAAAACAGCAAACAGGACAAAACAAAACTCATTGTTTTTCCTGGGCTTTTTCTTTTTTTCCAGTATAGTTTTGCTTTATTTTAAAAAGCATTTTATTATGATTTCCTGGACTTTTGACAAGGCCAGAGTTCTCAAGTCCCCACCCCCAAAGGGGTAAATTCCCACTAAGACCCTCCCCTCCCTTCTCAGTTGTAGGAAGGTGTGTGTTGATAAACAGGGAGGGGGTTTCTGCTTAAGGTAAAGCAAGATCTCCTTTCTCCTTAACTAAGTAGGGTGGATTAAATGATTTGGCTCATTCAGGCAGGCAGGAAGCTCCCCAGTGACTTCACTCACGTTTGTAGTTGTTGTTCATTCACTAAGTTGTGCCCATCTCTTTGTGACACCCCATGGACTGTAACCCGCCAGGGTCCCCCTGTCCATGGAATTCTCCAGGCAAGAACACTGGAGTGGGTGGCCATTCCCTTCTCCAGGGGATCTTCCCAACCCAGGGATGGAACCCAGGTCTCCTACATTGCAGGCAGATTCTTTACCATCTGAGCCACCAGGGAAGCCCCTCACTTGAGTTTACCCAAGGATATTTTCACTTAATGCTCTCACCCCCTTCTCCCTGTCAGATGTTCATCTGGTTCCAGTACTGCCTAAGACACCTTGTCAAATCCCGGAACCCATCGCCTACTTTCTTCTTCCTAAGATTCTGTGTGTGGTCAGGCACATTTGTGTGTATGCTGCCTGTTATGCTTTTTTGGTAAGAATAGAAAGTCTTGAATCAGTGGAATTTAGAGTGACATGTCTTGTCAGCAAGATCTCTGGAGAAGCAGAAATGACTTAGGAATAATCATGAGGAAGTGATGGTCCCCTTCCAATCATTTTATGGTCATAAGAAAGCCCAGGTTCTTCACTGATGGTCCAGTGATTAAGGCTCCATGCTTCCACTGCAGGGGGCACCAGTTCAGTCCCTGGTTGGGGAACTAGAGCCCACATGCTGCGTGTGGCCCAAGACACAGTCAAAGTCTGGGGGGAGTTTGTGCCAAGGACCAGGCATCCAGTCTGGCCACCTGGGCCGGCCCTTCCTTTGAATTATAGGGTGCCAGGTTTTCCAATGGAGAAGGCAATGGCACCCCACTCCAGTACTCTTGCCTGGAAAATCCCATGGACGGAGGAGCCTGGTAGGCTGCAGTCCATGGGGTCGCGAAGAGTCAGACATGACTGAGCGACTTCACTTTCACTTTTCACTTTTATGCATTGGAGAAGGAAATGGCAACCCACCCCAGTGTTCTTGCCTGGAGAATCCCAGGGGTGGGGTCGCACGGAGTAGGACACGACTGAAGTGACTTAACAATAGCAGTAGGGTTTCCAAGGTCCCTCCGTGGTGCCAGTGAAACAGAAGGGAAGAGGGTAGGGCAGTCTGAGAACACAACATAAACTGGTTAGAACCAAATGAGTCCAGATGGTGGACAAGTCTAACTTCCACTAGACTTTGAGCCTAGTATATGTTCACTGTAACACATTAGATACATGACTTACCCACAGGTGCCATGACAGTTCCAAAGCCAACCATCGAAGACCAAAGTGGATGATGATCCAATTTCTGGAAATCTCTTCTCCAAAGTATTTGCTATAATCCTCCCACTCATTAGTCTGTGAAATTACTCAGTCCATGAAAGCTAACTGCACATTTTGAGGCTGCTCTCACCTTCCGGGATGCCCCATACAATCTGTCTTTGGAATGTGTTTCTTTCTAAATAAATCCATTTCTAAAGGAAGAGATGTTTTGACAGAAGCAGAGGTCTGAGTGAGACCATTGCTGGCATTGAAGATGAAAAGGAGCCCTTAGGCAAGGAATGAGAGCAGCCTCTAAAAATGAGAGCAGCCTCTAGCAGCATCTTCCAGTTCAGGATGGTGGAGTAGAAAGACGCGTGCTCATCATCAGCGAGTGCACCAAAATTGCAACTAGCTATTGAATAACCAAGGACAGGAGAATGCTGGAACCCACCAACAAAAGATACCCCATGTCCAGGACAAAATAGAGGCTGCAGCAAGATGGTAGGAGGGGCACAATTATGATCAAATAAAATCCCACACCCGCCAGGTGGGTGACCAACAAACTGGAGAACGATAACACCAAAGAAGTTCTCCCACTGGTGTGAAGATTTTTGAACCCCACGTCAGGCTTCCTGGTCTGGGGATCCAATATAGGGACTGGGAATCCCAGGGAATCTGACCTTGAATGCCAGAGGGATTTGAATATAGGACTTCCACAGGACTGGGAGAAACAGAGCCTCCAGTCTTAGCGCGCACAAACAAAATCTTGCATGCACCAAGATCCAGAGGAAGGGAGCAGTGATCCCACAGGAGACTGAACCAAAACTATCTGTTAGTGTTAGAGGGTCTCCTATGGAGGCGTGGGTCGGCAGAGGTCCACCACAGTGGTGGGGGTACTGGCAGCAGCAGTCTGGGAAGGTCCCCTTTGGCATAAATCCTCTTGGACGTCGCCATTAAGCCTACCATGGGGCTCATAGAACCCAGGGCTGGGTCGTCTCAGGCCAGAGAACTACCAGGGAGGGAGTGCAACCCCACTCATCAGCAGATAATTGGATTACAGCTTTACTGAGCAAATCCCTGCCCACCAGAGCAAGACCCAGTCACTCCCATCAGGAAGCTTACACAAGCCTTTTAGCCTCTTCCATTAGAGGGCAGACAGAAGTAAGAACCACAGTCCCACAGAGGCTAGAACAAAAGCCACATTACAGAAAGTAAATCAGCATGAGAAAGAAAGTTCTGTCCCAGATGAAGGGACAAAATTAAGCCCCAGGAAAACAACCAAATAAAGTGTAGATAGGCCATGTTCTGGAAAAAGAATTCAGAATAATGATAGTGAAGATGATTTAGGATCTCAGGAAAACAGTGGATAAGATACAAGAAATGTTTACCCAAGACCTAGAAGAGCTAAAGAACAGAGATGAATGATACACTAGAAGGAATTGATAGCAGAGTTACCGAGGCAGAAAAGCAGATAAATGGCCCGGAGGACAGAACGGTGGAAATCACTGCTGCAGAACAGAAAATAGAAAAACGAATG